AGTCCATTAGTACATCTATGATGAAATTGAATAGGAATGGGGATAATGGGCATCCTTGACGGACGCCGCTAGTCGTCACCACTTCAGATGACAACTCGCCATAAGCCCTCACCTGGCTGCATGAGTACGAGTAGAGTGCCTTAATCAGTGCAATGTATTTTCTTGGCATTCCCTTTACAGCCAAGCATCGCCAGAGAACCTCCCGGTCGACAGAATCGAATGCCGCCTTTAGGTCAAGAAATATAATGATTGTCGGACGCCGGTAGGAATGCCTATGTTCTAGAATCTGTCGAAGGGTGAAGATGTGATCAATACACCCTCTACCTGGCCTAAAACCTGCCTGGTTTTCTCGTGTTTGTGTCTCCCGAGCACCACTTAATCTACGCAGTATTATTGAGCCTAGGATTTTAGATACTATATTAGTCAAGCTAATCCCTCTGTGATTATCACAAGACGACTTGTCCCCCTTCTTGTATATCGGGATGATCAGTGACTTACACCAACCCGACGGGACTTCCTCTGATTCCCAGACGCTGCCTAGAACCTCCGTTAACGCAGACAGTAAACTGACGCCTCCGTACTTAAATATCTCTGGAGTCAATCCATCAGGTCCCGCTGCTTTGCCTAGCTTCAGATTGGTGACAGCTTTAGTAACCTCGGTTAAGGACGGAGGACCTGTGTCTATCTCCCATTCAGGGAGGTGTTGGATGTCCAGTAGGTTAAGTGTGGCTGTGGACCAATTAAACTGCTCCTCATAGTGTTCTTTCCAGCGCTCCAGACGTCTATCCTGGGAGCTAATTATGGTGCCATTTTTCTCGGAGATTGTTTCGCTTATCATTTGTTTTTTACCACCTGTTTCCCTGATAAGCCTGAATAGTTGTCTGGTATTGCCTATCGCCGATGCTTTTTCCATCTCTTTCGCCTTTGTCAACCACCACTGTTCACGGTCCTTGCGGAGACTTTTCGTAAGTTTCCTCTTGTGCAGCTTTCGCTCCTCATTGAATTCGGAGCTCGCCGGGATAAGTCTTCTAGCATCTATCAGTTCGGATGAGGCAGTCGAAATCCAATGGGTTTTACTCACCTTTGGATTTACCTTATTCACAGCTTTTACAGCTGTATCTATGGCTGACTGAATATTCTTCCAGGCTTCTTCAGGGTGAGCGCAGCTGTCGAACTCAGATATGTGTTTAGCTAGTTCTTCCTCAAATAGGGACTTAGTTCCCTGGTCGAGCTGGGGACGTGATGGGTTTACCGCCAGCTGTTTCCTACGTCCGTTCAGTCGTAAGCACACACGAGCGCGGACCAGTGCGTGATCGGTATCTACACACGTGTTCCAGAAGGAGCGACAATCTCCTACCGACCCACGCCAACGATAGCTTATTGCTATGTGGTCTATTTGTGTCCAGCGTTGATTTGATGATGGGGGTCGCCAGGTCAAACAGTGTCTCTCCTTGTGTTTGAAGTTAGTGCTTACAAGATACAAATGATTATCTGAACAGAACTGTAGGAGACGGTCACCGTTGTCGGTTCGCTGGCACGGAATTCCGTATGTGCCACCAACATTCTTCTCAGATTGACACAATTTCCCTACTTGAGCATTAAAGTCACCAGCTAAAACGACTATATCTGAGCGTCTAGCCTTTCGCAGCAAACTAGACAGCTTTTGGTAGAACTCATCCTTCGTTTCATCCGAACTGCAGTCAGTGGGGGCGTAGGCGGAGATTACGAAAAGGCATCGGCGAGTAGTGCAGTCCTTTCTCCTTTTCACTGATCCGTTCAGGCGGACAGCGCACATTCGGCTATCTACCGGGATCCAGTCAAGTAATGTCTTTTCTGCTCTAGTACTTAAAGCTATCCCAACACCAGCTAATCCTCGTGAGCCAGCCGTCGCATCTCCTGACACCCTCAAGGTGAATTTTGCAGATTCATCCTGTTGGCCAGGTGGGGTTAGGTGAATAACCACACTTGGGTCTTGTATGCGTGTTTCTGAAACACAACATACATCAATGGCTCGAGATGCCAGAGTCTTGGCTAGAGATGCTTGTTGTCCTATTTGGCAGAGTGTCCTAACATTAAATGCTCCTATATAAAATTGGTGGCGTGGTTTTAGGAGACAATCGGTGGTGGCTTTTTGGCTTCCCTCGTTATCAGTGCACACAGAGTGAAGAGGAAGTGAAGAGCCATCAAGTAGAGGAGTTGCATTGGTAGAAGGAAGACAAGATAATAGAGATGAAGATGAAGACAAAGATGAGCGAGGATTAGAGGGGTTTCGCGTGCACTTCGGATTGTGAGGGCGATTGGTACTTCCCGGCTGCCCACACCGTGGAAGTTGGTTGCGTGACCGCAGAGCCCAGGGGACAACTGCTTGAGGCCGGTCACACACGGCCTGTTTTTGTTTGTTCTTTTTTATTTGGTGTGTCTCAGTAGCGTATTTATCACTTCTGCCCTGTGACACGGCAGCAGAAAGCGCGGTCGTTGTTAATCCGGGCCCCGACCGATCCGGCATGATATTTTGTGATTTATTTGAAACCATAGGATTGGATTGGGTAACTGCTTTTAGTCTAACTGCTATCCAAACAACCTTTCTGGCATGGTAGGACCTGCAGGAACATAAGTTCCAGCCAGTATAGCTTGTTGGGTCATTGCAGTGTTCAAGCCCGACCACCACGTCAAGGTAGGAGCTTTCGGTCGGGTCGAAGTAGATTACTGACTCTCCAGTTGATAATTCTGACAGTGCACATCCATTCCACCTGGTCTCTCAGATTATTAATACTTCCGTAGCGTACCTTATCATTTTCTTTGGCAACCTTGTTAGCCTTCTCAGCTTTGTATATTGTACGAACATTCCACGTCTCAGCGTTTATTTTTGCTTCTATCGAAAGAAGACACATCGACTGACTGACTGGCTTCTCGAAAGCTTTCACCATCCTGTGTCATTTTGTCGCTCCGATCCCAGAGGTGAATAAGTTTAAAAAATTTTTTTTCATGTGTTTTTAAGTTCCCCTAGCGACTGGACTAATTTTCTGGGGTAGGGTAGCTAGCCCCCCCCTCCTAACTCTCCTTTTTTTCCGGGGCTTGGAACCGGCTAGAAAGCCAGCAAGCTGGTCAACTAGGCGTGGCTGAAGGCTGATGACACTACTACCCAATTTACACAGTGTGAAATAGGTGGTTAAGCAAGTGTCAAATCTGGAACCCACTGACCGGATGTCTTCAAGTGTCTTACGCTAATAAGCCACATTTCCACATACTATTCGCGTCGTTATGAAGTAAATTATGATAACTTTAAAGTCTATTGGGGAGAAAATTGTTTACTGTCCTTCTCCTTGATTCTTTTTCTCATTCACTCCGAAACCCACCTAAGCGAACTCCCTCACCAGTAGAGTGACAAGAATTCGTTTCCGTCATTCCTTTAAAATCAAATTATTATGCAATCATACGTAATATACATGCGGACATTCCACATTCCCATTCTTATTCTTGCTTCCATCGTAAGAGGACACATCGGCTAACTGACTGGCTTCTCGAAAGCTTTCACCAGTCCGCGTTATTTCGCCTCTACGATTTGAGCGAAGAATAAGATCGTTCTTTGAGTTGTTGTTTGTATTTTTAGCATATTTTCTGTGCGTTGAATTTTCTTTAGAGGTTTGATAGGTTTAGTGATGTGGGGTGGTAGCTAGCTCCATACCCAATCCTCCCTCTTTACTCGTTCTTGGGACTGGCTAGAAAACTAGCAAGCTAGCTAGTTAACTCTGGGGACAAACCAACGGGCGAGAACCGATCGCTTAACAAATATGTAGGAGAAAATGGAGGTGTGGATCGGGCATACATTGAAAAGGCCGTCGAATGACATCGCGCGCCAGGCCAGTGCTTGAGCGAAATCCAAATGGGAAGCGACGAGTGGGTCGTCAGTCCGAGGGTGACATGGAAGAGGTTGTGTAAGGAAAAGATGAGAGGGTTTGTCAATCGTGGACCCAGCAGAAGAGGATGGCAGAAAATAGAAAGTGGAGATATGTTATTGAGGCCTCGATGTTCCACTTGGAACGCAAGGGAATAATAACTATAATACAACCTAGTCAGAGGACTGAGATTAGAGTTAGCTCCCATTTACTAGAATCTATATTTTATGGCATTTTAAAGATATTTTAAGTATTGTCTTTTCGACATTAGTGACGAATCACGGAATGAATTTGCCTGGTGTTCCAGTAACAAATCGTGACTAGTTGCGTTGCCACCAAGTTTAGTGATAGGACAAATACCCTGCTGATGACAGTAGCTGACTGTGAATTCGCAGAAATCGCGATTGATAGACTGATCATTAGATTCCATCTTAGTGATTGAATGGTTGACAGCCTCGCCTTGTAACTTGAAAGTTCCTTGTTCGACCCCTAGTGATAAGGTTGAGAATACGAACTGTTGAAGAGCTACCAGCCAGGACGAAACAGTTATCCAGTACTCCTTGCTAGTTATCAATGCTTCATTAACTGTGATAGGTCGATTTGTGATTAAATCTTATTATTATTATTGTTCCCTTGGGTTCCTAGTGGAACATAGGGCTTTAACTGCACGTCTCCACTTGCTTCTGTCTTCTGTTGTACTTTTCACTTGCATCCATGTTAATCCATACTGTTTCAACTCCTCGTCACACGATCTCCTCCATGTCACCCTTGCACTGACGTCCCACTGGTCGCTTCCCTTTCGATTTCCACTCGAGCTATTGCCTGACTGACACGCGATGTCACCCAGCGGCCTCCTCAGTGGGTCTCCAATCCATCTCCACATCTTTCTCCTGCATATTTGTTGGGCGATCGGTTCTTGTTTTGTTTCTTCCCATAGTTTCTTGTTGGTTCTTGTTCTTTCCGGCGGCCATCTAATCTTCAGTATAGAGCCAGCGAAGACAGTTGTTGTTGATAAAGGTCTGCAACAGGCTGTTGGAAATTCAATACTGTAGAAATTATTAACTACTTTGATTTAATTAATTAATTTATTTGTTTTCTGAACAGGATGTCACCTTTGGAAGTGGTCGTGCAATTAATTTAATGTGTGGAACATCTGAATGTACACGTCAAACGTTATTAGAAAATCTTGGTAAATCAACAGGCAGTGGTCGTAGCCCATTTGATATACGCTTTAATGTTGTTAATTCAACTGCTTATTATTCTGATGCTTCTCGTCGTAATCCAAATATTCATCCATTCGATTCAATATCTTATCAATGTAATCAACCTGTACCAAAACGTTCATCAAATGATCTTGGCGGTGCAGCATGTTCATGTGTTGATTGTACAAGTGCATGTTCATCAGAACCACCGGATTTACCACCAGAACCAAAAAAACCAATAGAAATTTTTGGTAAGTATATTTGGCAAACTGTTTTTTTAACAACAAGGCTACAGGATGGAGTTTCCTGGAGTTCTAGTGAGAAATCGTGACCAGTGAGGTCCAATTAGATGTCACGTGTGTGGATGGATGTCCCACCAACGACAATGGTTGGGGTCGTGCTAAATCACGAGTTGGTAGAAGTTAGAATTCATGGACTGGCCATTGAATCGGGTCCTAGTGGCTGAATGGTATACGAGCTTGCCTTGTAACCGGAAGGTCCTTGGTTCGAATCCTAGTGGTGGGTGCGTACTGCCGATGATTCCCAAACTAGGCTGAAACAGCAGCTGTCCAGTACTCCAGTGCTGGTTTTCAATGGTTCTCTAACTGATATCAATCCTTGATCAACTCGTAAAAGCATAACAAACCCTTACAAACCAAACTATCGAAAATAACAATTATTTTTGAATTATGAGCATCTTATTTTTTTTAGGGGAAAATGACATCAGGATTAATGAACTTATTCAAGTATTGTTTTTTGTAGGGATTTGATTGATTGGTTACAGGATTTCATCATGAACAGCAGGTCGGGCGTTAAGACAAATACTCGCCCTACCGATGACATTGGCTAGTGGTGGCACCCCAAGTTGTGAATCCACAGAAGTTGGAATTCATGGGCTGGCTGGCCATTGGATTGACACATCCCAGTGGCTTAATGGTCTACCGCCTAGCTCGTTAGGCTTGTAACCAGAAGACCCTAGGTTTGAACCCTTGTGGTGGATGCGTACTGATGAAGAGTTCCAAACTAGGCTAACAAAACAGAGCTGTCCAGTACTCCCAGGTCTTCCAATGGTGTTCTCCTAACTGATGTCAGCTCATGATGAAACCCTGTGACGAATGAAAGTGTTGTTGAAATCATTATCTTGGATAAAATATGGTCTGTCTCTGTCTGGATTCAACATAGAACTTGGCACCGAAGTGCAGCACTTCGAGTTGCCACCTTCCAAATACCACACAAACGTAGACAAGAAGATGAGTGAAGAGAATCAATAGAGTTTTGACAAGACTGACTAGAGTGAAACAGAATGAATGAGTAATGGTAGAAAGGAATATGAAAGATTACAGAGACTGAATACATCTGCGTAAGCCATTGACAACGAACGATTTTGAGCCATGTCACCTATTGTCTGTCTCCAGCCTTCATTGATTGATTCTTAGAGTCCCGATGGCGGGGCGGGCCGGGCCCCAACCCTGAAGTCTGCATCTCCCTCCCTACCTGTCTGACTCAGTTTAACTGTCAAGGATTTCATGGATTGATGAGGCCATGTTTTTGTTTGGCCACCACTTACACTTCCCCCCAACCTGCACCTATATCAGCTAGTAATGTCCGTCGGGTGGGGGAGGCGATGGTTAGGCATGCGCAGCACGTCACCTAGCCAGCCATCTCAATCTATGTAACTTTATAGCCTCGTCGATTGATTTTCCCTCTTTGCCCAACACTCTACTCCTAACCTAACGTCAACATTACTTAGCTTATTATCCCACCAACTAACGTGAGAAAGAGATCGTAGACATCTATGATCAAAAGAAGTCAACTTTTTCATGTCTTCAACTCGTATTGGCCATGTTTCAGAGCCATAGAGAAGGACGTAGCGGCGAACTTCTGAGCAGTACACACGTCCCTTGGTTGATAGCTGGATGTCACGCCTACGCCAGAGATGGTGTAAGTTAGCGAAAGCATAGAAAAAGGTTGTAGAGCTTCATCAGTTGAGATGGCTAGGACACATGTGGCGCATACTAATCCAATGCTCTCCTCTGCCAGCAATGTTAGCTGACATAAGATTAAATTGGAAATGGGTTACATGCGCGGGTGGGGTGGTGAAGCTGAAATCTCACTAAGCAATTCCTAGACTCTTTGAAAATTAGTTTGAACTAGTTATATAGCGTGGGAAGGGAGATGCGTAAACTTTCTGGTTAAGGTTTTTGAAACTCTTTTAGTGATATCGTTCAAAATCGTTATCAGTAGTAGTGTATGCACTCTTTGTTTTCTATGAGGGGTCTATCAATTATTCATTATCTCTGCGTGTAACTGCTTTTTCTTCTTCTCTACATTTTTGTTCGCTGTAGTTCTCTCTCTCTATTTATGTGTATTATATGAACTGCTGCATTTCTGTACAGAATAATTCCTCTCTGAAACTTAAATAGTCAGTGAGTCAGTCATAAATTCAGTGTAATGTCTTCTGGAAAAGGTATAGCTGTCTATCTGTTTTCGACATAGAACTTTGCACATATGTGCACCAGTTCATGTCGCCACACTCCCTCCATGTAGCACACAAAGCAAGAGAAGAAAGTAGGGGAAATGCATATTAGAGAGAGACAGTAAACAGAGGTGTGAGACAAAGGAATAGTAATAACGAAGAACAAAACAGTTTCATTGTAAATCATAAGTCAGTGACAAGGAGTGGATGCATCTGCGCCAGCCAGCCATTGAAAACGATCACTTTGAGCCATGTTACCAATTGTTTCCAGCCTTCATTGGTTTTTACAGTCCCGAGGAACCCAACCAGTCAGTCAGCCAGTCTACACCTTCCTACGTGGCTGGCTTAAACTAACTGTTGTGGATTTCATTGACCGATGAAGCCATGTTTTGGTTTGACGGCTACTGGCTAGTTACTTTCCAGCCTGACCCTATGTCAGCTAACATTGTCCATTGTCGAGGAAGACGATGACTAGGGATGCATACGTAACACATGTCCTGACCATCTCAGTCGATGTAATTTCACAGTCTCGTCGATTGATTTCCCCTCTCGTTACCTAGCACACGACCGATGGCCTAACCTCAATATTGCTCACCTTATTATACCACTTCACACACACGGGAAATAGGACGCAGACACCTATGATCTATGACAGGTTATCTTTTCATGTCTTCCGCCCTCAATGGCCAGGTCTGACAGCCAGCCATAAAGGAGGACGGAGCAGACTGATGAGCAGTACACACGCCTTATGGTCGATAGTCGAATATCACGTCTACTAAGCCAGAGACGGCGTAAACTGGCATATGCGAAACTAGCCCTCTGTATTCGTGCTGAGATTTCGTCAGAGATCAACCCTATAACCACCTAATTACGAAGTTATCGAAAAGAATAGTCTTTGTTCAGTAATCAATCTTCTGAAGTTTTGAATGGGGCATCTTTTTAATCAATTAAATTAACCTTGCTGCCGCTGAAACTTCATGGCTTATTTTTGTTTGACTTGGCGAACGCGCAACAATGAAAATAGGCCTGGCCACTACATAAAAAATCAATTCCGATTAAACTGAGAGTTATTCGTTTTTGTGTGAATATACTTAGCGTATAGATTTTTGTGGGGATTTTTGATGAATTTCATTTATCTGTTAGATTACATCAAGACCCAATGTTGGTTGATAATCCCTGGACAGCTGTGCACGCTTAGGACCTAAACAGTGAGGTGGGGGGGGGCGGGGAGTCGTATTCTGTACCTTCAGGTTACTGGATGCTGCTCGTTGACCATCCAGTCATTTGGGTTGGAAATCAAATGAGCCGTGAATTCTAACCTCTTCAGTGGATGATAGAGTGCCTTATAAGAGTATGCACAGCTTCAGAACATCCAGCTAGTAGGCAGGCATCAATGAGCTGGGGATTAGTTTTAAGCCTATGGATTCGATTCCTGATAGTTTCGTGGGTACACACTTCTGAATAATCGCAAATTGCGACTAAACAGCTGTCCAGTACACTCCTTGTTTGTTGATAATATTTTCTCTAGTTGATTTTAGTTCATAACGTTACGTTACGTTGATGATACATTTGTAATAATTAAGAGAAATGATTTAGAATATACCCATAAATTAATAAACAACATATTTGAAGACATCAAATTCACCACGAGAGAAGAAGACTTAGATAACAAAATCCCATTTTTAGATATCGTCTTAATCAGGAGAACCAACACAGGAGATTTAGAAACACAAGTATATAGAAAATCAACGCACACAGATCAAATACTCAACTATACTAGCAATAATCCAATTACTCACAAACGAAACTGTGTGCAGACATTGTTCAAAGAAGAGAGTTCAAACACACAATGTAGCACTCCACAGTTGAAAACAATGGAAGAAAAATACCTACAAACGATCTTCAAAAAGAATGGTTATCCACAAAATTTCATAAAAAAAAGTGTTTAAAGTCGAATCAAAACACCAACAAAGAACCATCATCAAAGACCACAAGAAAATTCATCCTACCATACATGAGGAATATCTCTGAAATAACAGCTAGAATACTGAAACCGTTTGACATAGATATAGCACACAAGCCAGTAAAATCGCTTAATTCGATATTATGCAAACCGAAAGATCCAACAGAAAAAGGAGATAAAATTAATACCATTTACAAAATAAATTGCATGTATGAACTGTAACAAGCATTACATCGGCCAAAGTGGGCGTCCCCTTCGAATTAGAATCCAAGAACACAAATCAGCTGTGAAAAGATACGATATGTATTCTTTCATATCAATGCATATAGACAACTATGGACATCAATTTGATTGGGATAATGTCACAATCTTAGACAGAGGAAACACCAAAAGTGCAGTCAGGGAATTCCTAGAAGCCTAGTACTCAAACGAAAATGCAATTAACAAACACGTTAATATAGACGAAATACACCAACTAATAAAAAGTAAATCAGGTGACCAGAAAGTTTGAAATCCAAGTCAATAGAAAATGGTCAATACACATGTTGTAAAGATGGTTACCGGGAGACGTACGCAATTCTATCACCACTCATGAAGAAATTTAAATCATTTCACTTTATGCTAAATATTGCGCTGAAGGGGATGTTGTCCAGCAGGGGGACGACGAAAGCTCTGCAACTAAACCAACCAGCTCAGAGAACACTATTAATTGCGAATATATATATATAAGTTTTATAGAAGTTTGACCACGGACTGATATCAGTTAAAGAGAATCATTGAAAACCAGGGAGAACTGGACAGCCGTTGTCATCAGTCTGGTTTGAGAATCATCGGCAGTACCCACTCACCACCAGAGTTCGAACCCAGGACCCTGCGGTTACAAGGTAAGCTCGTATGCCATTCAACCACTGGGACACGATTTGATGGTCTATGAATTCTCACTTCTACCAATTTGTGATTTAGCGCGACCCGATCGGGTCCCAGTGGCTGAGTGGTATACGAGCTAGCTCGCCTTGTAACCGGAAGGTCCTGAGTTAGAACCCTGGTGGTGGGTGGGTGGGTGGGTACTGCCGATGATTCCCAAAGCAGACTGATGAAACAGCAGCTGTCCAGTACTCCAGTGCTGGTTTTCAATGATTCTCTCTAACTGATATCAATTCGGTGGTCAAACTCGTAAGAACAAATTTAATCCCCTTACAAACCAACTCTTGAAAATTTTTATTTTTATTTACAATATGGCACCAAGAAAGATGCGACACACCCCGGCCGATAACTGCTACCTTGCCATGGTTTTCGGGCTTGAATGCCGCAGTGACTCAACAAGCTAAACTGGCTGGGACTCATGTCTCTGCAGGTCCTACCATGTCAGGAAGGTTGTTTGGATAGCAGTTAGACGAAAAGCAGTTTCCATGGGGTACATGGGCTCCAGAATCCAATCGGATCAAATGGCGTATGAACCCATATGGGTCACCGGCAACCATGGGAACGCAGCAGCTGACGCTGCTCTGCTGCCTTGCGGATTAGACTCCAAGTCAAAGTCTCGGGGGGTGGTCCCTTAAGAAAACCATCTGCTTCGGTCTGGGCGCCCGGGCAGTATCTCAGCCCTCACACAATAAATGAAATGAAGCAACAAACTGTTATGGAAATTCACCGCGCGCTCGCAAAAATGATTTCAAGAAATAATGATATCTCAAGCAACTTATGTCCTTCCAACTCTTGAAAATTAACTTTTATACACTATTAATCAAGCCATTTTGATGACTTGTCAACTGTTTTTATCATTAATTGTCTTTCTTTTGTATAAATACTTTTATTTTTTTTTTCCAGGCATAAACATATGGTTATTTTGTGGTTATATTGTTTTCGCTGTATTGACAATTATCTTTGGAACATATCAAATTATAAAACTTGTTTATACACACGATTCCCCATGGTTTGTTGATCGTCGTAATTGTTGTACTGATGGACGTCAACAATTGTCATCACAACAGCAGAAACTATTCACTGAAGTAGATCTTAATGACTCCAGTAGAATTTGTTGTCTTGGTCTTTTAGCAGCCTTCTTTGATGGAATATTGACAAAAGTATGTTGATGATAGATTTTTTATTTTGGTTTGTTTATTTATTTATTTTTTTTCTGATTGGATTTCCTGTTCTCTCACTTAAACCCAAATTCATTCTAGTGTAATCCAGTTTTGTATCTAGTCATATTTTAATTTTCGATGCGGGGTGTTTTAATCATGTCGATAAGTTTTCAGCAGGTCTAGTTACTGTTGCAACAGTGTAACAGAAGCAGTTTGAATACTTCCGAGTGAAATTGATTCAAGTACTTATTGTTATGGCTTGAGACGCGCGTCTCCATTGCGTCCGGTTCTCTGCCAACGTTTTCACCTGGTTTCACGTCTGTCCACATGTTTTCATCTCCTCTTCACATGACCTCCTCCATGTCACCCTTGCACTGACGACCAACTCGTCGCTTCCCGTTCAGTCGGGTTCCACTCAAGCAATGGCTTGGCATGTGTTGTCACTCACTTGATGGTTTGTTTTCTCATAGTATGGCCAATCCACCTACCTCCATTTCTTCCTGCATATTTGTTGCACAATCAGTTCCTGCTGGGTTGGTTCGCTCATTGCCAGAGATCCCTCCCTGTTGCTGATGTTTTCTGGCTGGCCATCTGATCTTGAGGGAAGACAACTGTTGATGAAGGTCTGTAGTCTGGTTTTCGTGACGCGCTGGCCAACTTTCTGACCCATACACAAGAAGTCAGTGACTGGTGGTGCAGTGGTTCCTCCAACTGATTTAGGAGTGAGGAAAGTCTGTCTCACCTTTTTGATCCTGACTGGTTTTAATATCCTCATCTGTACAGTAGCTTGTAGGTTGGAACGATGCTGCCTAGCTAGATAAGTTTAGGAAGTGATGTCTTTAAAATTTCTTCCGTTGACAATGATCGGTCCATGTTGCTGTTGTTGTTGTTGTTCGTTGGTCATTTTCATCACCAAAATCTTCTCTGTGTTCACTTCAAGTCCTGCCTTTGCTGCTTGCTTCTTCTTCTTCTTCTGCTAGTTGGCTGGTTTCCGCATGTATGTCTTCGAGTTTATGTGACATTAGACATAAATCATTCACGCGCGAAATCCGGATCTTCTAGAGTCTTCTTATCGGAACAACATAATCCTGTTTTCTCGTTCCCCATTTACTGTCTTCCACGTAATGCAGTTCAACACAATTAGCAATATCATCGTGGGTGATAGTGGTCAGTGATAGTAGCCAGCGTGTCTTACTCCTTCCTGTATTCACTTCAAACGTCTCTCTGAGTTTTCCGTTGTGGTCGAAGTAGTCTTCAAATAACTCCTTTGCAAATATCAATTCATCTGCTCGTGTAGAGCTAGCTACACACATCTTTCTTTCCTTTCAAAACGTGTTAGAGAACAATTACCCAAAATAACTGAAAAGAGGAGGCACTGGTTCAATCAGAAGCGTCATAATTGAACACCTCGTCAACACCTATCACACCGTCTCAACTGACTCATCATTCAGAGTTCAAAGTCATTTATAAAGTAAACAAAAGTCTACCAAAGGAAGCGTGTTTTTGCGACTTCTTTGTACTGCAAAAGCCCTCACCATATACATCTAAACACCCGGAGCTATGCGTTCAAAAGAAACTAGTCCAACCTATACATTTACCATGGATCTAGTTGAGTTTGTTTCCTTAGGTCTCCTTCTTCATCTCCTTCCTCTTTTTTCATTTTCAAGCGTGAAAAATTAATATTTCACTTTGTTTCCATGTTCATCCCGTTTACACCAATATTCGTCAGAAAAAACAAACCATTTTACATATCACGCAACTATTTTCTGATCCTGTGTAGTTTTGTTTTTAAGCCCCTAGTAATCTATATTCACACCTTTGACCTTTCATATCAAGTTGAGAATTATTTTCACCTTTAATCTCCCCCTTCTTTACTATGTGGAATTAATAATGATATCTACGTAAATTTATGTATATGAATGCGATTATACAGCAGCATTTGAGTATGAAATCGCCGAAAAGATATTTATCCGTTTGCTACATTTCTTCTTGTTCATTGACAAATTTATTTACTTAAACGTAGAAGAAAAAACTTGGTACAATATGGCACCAAGAAAGATGCACCACACAATAATAATAATAATAATAAAACAACATACATTAAAAGTAAAAATATAAGTGTAGAAAACGGATAAAGAACTTCTTCTGGAAGGAAAACAGTCATGTTTAACAAGTTCAAACAGTATTCGTTAACTATCATCAGGAAGAAACGAAAGAAGGAAATTGCAACACGTTCGCCATTGATTACGATTCTTCGCCTTATCCGATAAAATTTCGAGCCATCGATTCGAGCTATCTCGCGGACCCCAACAAGGGAGTCGTGACGCACCAACCGATGCTAATCTAGCACAAAAATCCTTCATCCCACGACGCCTCGTCAGGGACTGACCACCCCTCCACCTTTTCCATCCCGTCCCAGGGCTCAAACAAAATCACAAATTATCATGCCGGATCGGTCGGGGCCCGGATTAACAACGACCGCGTTTCCTGCTGCTGTGTCACAGGGCAGAAGTGATAAATACGCTACTGAGACACACCAAATAAAAAAGAACAAACAAAAACAGGCCGTGTGTGACCGGCCTCAAGCAGTTGTCCCGTGGGCTCTGCGGTCACGCAACCAACTTCCACGGTGTGGGCAGCCGGGAAGTAACAATCGCCCTCACAATCCGAAATGCACACGAAACCTCTCTAATCCTCACTCATCCTTGTATCCATCTTCATCTCTATTATCTTGCCTTCCTTTTACCAATGCAACTCCTCTACTTGATGGCTCTTCACTTCCTTTTCACTCTGTGTGCACTGATAACGAAGGAAGCCAAAAAGCCACCATCGATGGTCTCCTAAAGCCACGCCAATCCGACCGTCCGAGGGCTAGCGAACAGAGATATCGGTACGGAAGCCTCTGGGATGACATTCGTAGCACATGTCCAAGCCACCGGAGCCGTTTAAAATTAAAAATATAAGTGTAGAAAACGGATAAAGAACTTCTTCTGGAAGGAAAACAGTCATGTTTAACAAGTTCAAACAGTATTCGTTAACTATCATCAGGAAGAAACGAAAGAAGGAAATTGCAACACGTTCGCCATTGATTGAGAGTCTTGGCCATATCCAATAACGTTTTGAGCTGTCTCGCGGACCCCAACCAGGGAGTCGTGACGCACCCACCAATGCTAATCTAGCACAAATATCCTTCATCCCACGACGCCACGTCATGGACTGACCACTTCTACTCCGCCTTTTCCATCCCTTCCCAGGGCTAGCGAACAGAGACCTGTACGGAAGCCTCTGGAATGACATTCGCAGCACATGTCCAAGCCACCGGAGCCGGTGTTTCCATATGACGACACTCAATGAATGGTGATCTCCACTGTGTTCAAACAAACGCCGCCGAACCTCAGAATTACTCACGCGATGGTGCCATCGAACGCAAGCAATCCTGCGGAGACATCGATGATCGAACACGCAGAGTCGCCTCACATCCTCAGCCTACTCGGAGAGGCCAGGTTTCACAGGCCTGGCTTAGAGTAAGACAGCCCTCATCGAAGCATTGTATACCCGACCAACTTTGACAGCCAGGCTAACGTCGCGACGGCGCCAGAGGTGGCTCAAGTTGATGTATGCCACCGTAGCCTTCATTATACGGTTGCAGATCCTATCCGTCAGCACTCAAACAACTACTCAGATACACAAACTTATCAACAAGTTCAAGCGGTTCACCCACAAGAGTGAGTGCAGGTACAGGCTCCTTCCAATCTTGTAACAGTACTTTGCACTTAGACCGTGCAAAGCACATACCGTACTTACAGACACTGATCGCCAACTGATTAAGTGCGATTTGGGCACCCTGCATGCTATCGCACAGTAAGACGATATCGTCTGCATACTCGAGGTCAGAAATTCTATCTCCAGGTAGCAGATCTCTACCTTCACGCACATCCTTCAGAGCTGTCTTCAGAATGTCATCGATGGCAAACTTTAAAAGAAATGGAGAGATTGGGCAACCCTGTCTAACCCCACTGTTGGTTGGGAACAGTGATGATAGTTAGTTGTATGCCCTCACTCTACCTGAGGTGAGGTGTTTCTGTTTAGGGCTTTGAAGATGTTAACAAATTTCTCAGGTACACCTCTCTCTCTAACAGACAGTTCCGGAGCACAGTTCTGTCCAACGAATCGAAGGCAGCCCTGATATCAAGAAACACAACGATCGTTGGCCTGCAATACGTGTGGCGACGTTCCAACAACTGACGAAGGGTGAACACATGATCAATGCATCCACGACCTGGACGAAACCCAGCCTGCTCTTCGCGAATCAATCATACTCATTGACAAATGAGTAATTTGATTCCTGATTATAAAAATAAATGCATATTTAATAGCCTTATCTAATTTCTCTTGCAGTGTCATCTTTACTCTCTTCCTGTTTTTGTTCTTTTAAAACCAAAAAATACTTTTACAGGTGTTTACATGCCTCGGACGTGTCACTGCTCGTCATCCGTATATTGTGTTACTTCTATCATTGATTGTTATAGCAATTCTATCTGGTGGTTTAGCCTTCCTACAAGTGACTACAGATCCAGTTGAGCTATGGTCTGGAAAAACTTCACGTTCTAGATTAGAGAAAAATTATTTTGATGAAAAATTCGGGTAAGTCAGGCATTGTTGAATTGCTTATTTCAATGGAATAAAATTACAGTTTATCACAGTCGTATCACAATGGGATATAAGATAAACAATCACTGGATAACAGATTCGATCTAGCTCTGCTGTCGTCAACTAACGCCATCGATGAAGACTTCATTGCGCTGATGCTGTCCTCTCTACCAGGTTAAGGTAGATGGTTGGTAGCGCTATTTCACACGAAATGATCAATGTTATAATTCATGGATAATAGAATAGTCGAATCTGAAGCTTCTTGATTCGATCTCTTGTTGGGAGGGTGTCACACTATTGAAGAAATTCTCAGACTATATGCCGAAACAGTAATTCTCTGACTGATAATGATTTGTGGTGATAATCATAGGGGAATCAGCCTGGCGAACATAGTCTCTAAAATCCTAGGCTCAGTAATCATCCACAGACTAAGCAGAACTCGGGAGGAACAAACGAGGGATAATCAAGCAGGCTTTAGGCCAGCTGGAAGGTGCATAGATCATCATATCTTCACTCTCCGACAGATCCTTGAACATAGACACACTCTTAGGCGTCCAACAATTGCCATATTTCTTGACTTGAAGGCGGATTTCGACTCCGTGGATCGAAAGGTACTATGGCAATGTTTGACTGTGAAGGGAGTGCCAAGAAAAAACATTGCACTAATCAAGGCACTCTACTCAAACTCACGTAGCCGTGTAAAGGCTTATGGGGAATTTTCATCTGAATTGATAACAACCAGTGGTGTGCGTCAAGGTGACGAAATCTCAGCACGGATCCAAAAAGCTCGGGCTGCTTTCGCTAACTTCCACCGTCTCTGGCGTAGGCGTGATATCCGGCTATCAACCAAGGGACGTGTGTACTGCTCACCAGTTCGCTCCGTCCTTCTCTATGGCGGCGAGACGTGGCCATTTAGAGCGGAAGACATGAAAAGGTTGACTGTTTTTGATCATAAATGTCTACGATCTCTTTCTCACGTTAGGAGGTGGTATAATAAAGTAAGTAATGTTGACGTTAGGCGTAGAGTGTTGGGCAAACAGGGAAAATCAATCGAAGAGGCTATAAAGTTACATAGATTGAGATGGCTAGGTCACCTGCTGCACATGCCTAACCATCGCCTCCCCCGACTGGCATTACTAGCTGATATAGGTGCAGGTTGGAAAAGAATAAGTGGTGGCCAAACAAAAACATGGCCTCATCAATCCATGAAATCCTTGACAGTCAAACTGAGTCAGTCAGGTAGGGAGGGAGGGAGATGCAGACTTCCGGGTTGGGGTCCAGCCCGCCCTCGGGACTCTAAGAATCAATCAATGAAGGCTGGAGACAGACAATAGGTGACATGGCTCAAAATCGTTCGTTGTCAATGGCTTACGCAGATGTATTCAGTCTCTGTAATCTATCGTATTGTTTTCTACCACCATTACTCATTCTGTTTCACTCTTCTACTTGTCAAAACTCTATTGATTCCCTTCACTCATCTTCTTGTCTACGTTTGTGTGGTATTTGGAACGTGGCAACTCGAAGTGCTGCACTTCGGTACCGAAATCTATGTTGAATCCAGACAGAGAGACAGGCCATGTTAATAACTTTTGGAAACATTAGTTCTAGCCAGTATAGCTCATTGGGTTGTTACAATGTAAAATTTCGACCACTATATCAAATAATGCAGATGTCAGTCGAGTTGTAGCGTGTAACTATAACGTTTAAAATATGTTCGACTTCTTTCTTTTTTGAATTAAATGTTATTTTTTAAAATTTTGTCTGTTTATCATTGTTTTAGAGCATTTTATCGAACTGAACAAATTATTCTTCGTCCAAAAAATCAATCAAATTTCACACATAAAGCACTTGGAGATGCTTCTGGTGATGTTTTATTCGGTCCAGCATTGGAGAAATCGTTTCTTTTAAAAGTGAGTCTATATTATACTTTTTGGTCTTACTTACTTACTTACCTACTGGCTGTCATTGCTATTGCGTGTAGAGGAGGGGGTGGCTTAGTTAGTGGCCTGAAGCACTTGTCTTCCAACCAACCAGTATGGTTCTTGGGTTCGAATCCCCTCCCTATCTACTTCATATTGGGTAATTGTATATAGTCCTCATATGAACTGTGATCAAGATTTGACCGGATAGTTGCAAAATAATTGAGATTTTTTACAAATACATGAAACAGCAGCTGTCCAGTACTCCCTGGTTTTCAATGGTTCTCTAATCGATATCAATCCGTGATCAACTCGTAAAAACATAACTAACCCCTACAAACCAAACTATAGAAGATTAATCTGATGCTCGCTAGTGACTTGCTACAGGATGGAGGTTCCTGGAGTTCTAGTGAGAAGTCGTGACCAGTGAGGTCCAATTAGATGTCACGTGTGTGGATGGATGTCCCACCAACGACAATGGTTGGGGTCGCGCTAAATCACGAATGGGTAGAAGTTAGAATTCATGCACCGGCGATTGAATCGGGTCCCAGTGGCTGAATGGTATACGAGCTAGTTTGCCTTGTAACTGGAAGGTTCTGGGTTCGAACCCCTGGTTGTGGGTGGGTACTGCCGATGATTCCCAAACTAGGATGAAACAGCAGCTGTCCAGTACTCCAGTGTTGGTTTTCAATGGTTCTCTGACTAATATCAGTCCGTGATCAACTCGTAAAAATATACTATAATTTTATAAATTTGTTATTCTTTCCATAAGAAGGCGTAGACAATCGGGTATTTGACGAAGTGTGACAAGTTGTTGATACATATCCAATTTTTACTTATTAGTCAGGATTTGCCATGCATCAGCTAAGATCACACCTTCACGTCTGTTCAAACTGTTGGGATTCACCCATATATGTAGGGCTTCTGCAGTCAGTCTTTCTTTATATGAACCAAAACCTTTCTGTAAAAGCTTAGTCTTATCAAAGTCGATTTTATGTCCCGTTTCTATCGAATTCAGTGCAATCGCTGAGTTGTGTTTTGGCTTCTTCAAGTCTGCAGAGGTCTGTGGAACCACCTTTAGACATTGCTTATGCTCTTTCACTCTTAAATTTAACTTTCTGGAAGTTTCTCCTACATATACGGCGTTACAATCCCCACAATTGATCTGGTACACGCAATTCTGCTGGTTTTCTTGTTCTATTTTATCCTTGACCTTAACCAGTAATGAGCGTAAGGTGTTTGATGCACGAAAATACACTCTTGTGTTATGGTCGTTAAGGATTCGCTTTATTTCATCGGATGTTTCTTTGCGGTAAGGAATCACCTCTGTACTAACCCAATTCTTAGCATCAGGTTTCGATTCATCCTTGTCTTCACATTTTAAATATCTTTTTATGAATGCTTTAGGATAATTATTTGATTCAAGAGTGGATTGAGCCAATTTTAGTTCCTTGCTAATATCTTCCTCCTCAGTAACTAGACGTTTGGCTCTGTTGATCTGATTCTTGGCCACAGTTATTTTGGTAGTAAATGGGTGAGCTGAATAGTAATCTAGGTATCTATCAGAATTTGTCAGCTTTCTCGTTCAATAATGATTGTAACTTGGAGTAGATGAACCCTTTCCAGGGACTAGGTTCAAACAGTCATCATCAATAATGTATATAAGTGTGTTGTCATTAGGTAAATTTTTAAATATGGTTTTACTGTTGGTTCAATCACTTGTTATGTTAGTGTCAGTTTTGGAATCTCTCTGTTCGTATGTTGACAACAATGCTCTAATGGACAATAAGGTATGACTTATTATCCATTGTAATGGGCGGATCACTTCAAAGGACTCTTGAACCGACCACCACCTGCATCCCATCCAGAAATACCAACAACAGCGCGTACACAACTGCAAGCACACACCAATCTTCCAACGAAAACTGAAGTCTTGAATGCAATCAAGCTTTTGAAAGCTGGAAAAGCAGATGGACCAGATGAAATACTCCTTGAAGCACTGAAAGTGGACCCGGAGACGACAGCAGATATGCTGACTCCATTAGTGCAAACGGTCTGGAAGGAGGGAAAGGTGCCTACTGACTGGAGGAGAGGTTACCTTGGGAAACTACCAAAGACTCTGCAAGAACTGGCGAGGAATCATGCTCCTGTCGACGCCAAGTAAAATTCTGAGTCGCGTCATCTTGGAGAGAATAAAGTACGGACTGGATACAGAACTCCGATCAGAACAAGCTGGATTCAGGAAAGGCAAATCATATTCTGACCAAATTGCAGCCCTACGCATCATCATCATCGAACAAAGCATGGAATGGCAATCAAACCTCTACCTCAACTTTATAGACTTTGAGAAGGCCTTCGACAGCGCAGCGTTGACCGCGAAGTAATTCGGAAACTACTCGAGTACTACGGTGTACCCCGAATATTCATCAACCTTATTCAACAGCTGTATGACAACGGCAAATGCCAAGTGATCCACAACGGGAAACTCATCGAGACGTTTGGAGTGGACACAGGGGTCAGACAAGGGTGCTTATTATCACCAATGATATTCCTAATTGTGGTGGACTGGATTATGCGTCAGACATTGGGAAACGGGAAGACAGGGATATCCTGGACCGACGTGAAGAATCTAGAAGACCTGGATTTCGCGTGTGGATGATTGATGTTTGATGTCACACAAAATCGAAGCCTTACAAGAGAAACCTGACCGACAAACTGGTCGAAGAAGCAGCCGGTGAAGACACGACTCCAGGTGAACATGGACAAGACGGAGGTTATGAAAATAACCAACCAACAACAACAACAGAGACATCCACCGTCAATCACCATCAACGGGAGGGATTTGAAAGAGGTTACTTCATTCACTTATCTAGGGAGCATTGTCTCAACTACAGACAGGAGGAACGGATGAGGATGTCAAATCGAGAATCGGGAAGGCGAGAACCACATTCATCAACCTGAAACCAATCTGGAAATCTTCCGCTGTCACTCACTCAGCATCAACAACAAAATGATTCGGATTTTCAATACAAACGTCAAGTCAGTCAGTTCTTTTATACGGATGGATCAGAAACTTGGCCAGTGTGTCACAAAGAATATTTCCAACAGTCTGTTGCAGATCTTTATCAACAAGAACTGTCTTCGCTGGCTCTATACTGAAGATCAGATGGCCACCGGAAAGAACAAGAACCAACAAGAAAGAAACTATGAGAAGAAACAAAACAAGAACCAATCGCCCAACAAATATGCAGGAGAAAGAAGTGGAGATGGATTGGACACTGGCTGATGAGGCCGCTGGGTGACATCGCGCGTCAGGCCATAGCTCGAGTGGAACTTGAAAGGGAGTCGGCGAGTGGGACGTCCAAGGTTGACATGGAGGAGATCGTGTGAAGAGGAGTTGAATGACAATATCGTTTTGTTTTACATTCAATGGGAAATACAAAAACCTTTATTATAATGAATATCATATACCCAATGCCCAAATTTTTTTAAACCGTTAAAAGTGAACTTGGTTTGGACATATATAGGAGTTGAAAGAGTATGGACTAACGTGGATGCAGGTGAAAAGTACAGCAGAAGACAGAAGCAAGTGGAGACGTGCAGTTGAAGCCCTATGTTGTTCCACTAGGAACCCAAGGGAACAATAATTATAATATGTTATGGTCAAGAGTTTTAATACCGGATTTCCCTTTCTTTTGAGCTTTTGTGATCTTCTTAATTAAGTTTTATGAGATAGTTATGTAACACCTTGAAATCCAAGATCTTCGGGTTACACGACAATGTCTGAAGGTATCTATAGGATCCTGCTCTCCTTCATAGAATACTTCTTTTGATTCATGAGACGCTAATAATCGTTGACGAAATGCGGCAGAATTTTTTTTCAATGGATTGCGAATGAGTTAACTCTGTATGATCGATCCCCCTCACAACATTTGGATTGATCACTGTTTCTTTGTATTTCCTTTGTCGTGTGTACTTTAATATGTACTTTTATGAACTAAGTGTTCTAACTTAAAATACTGCACTTTGTTTTGTTGAAAAATTCAATTTAATTCAGTCAATCACTTCAAATCAGATGAGTTTATTTGATGTAATCGCATATTCTATACTTATGTATGAAAGAGTCAGTTTGTAGGCAATTGATATGTTTCAGATTTCACCAGGAACTGACTGATATCTGTTGCGGGAACTATTAAAAACCACCAGGGAGTACTGAACAGCGGCTTCATCCTAGTTTTGGAACTTTGCATGAGTACTCACCCATAATCTCAGCAGGGATAGAACCTGGGACCTTCAGTTTACGAAGTCAAGCTGGTTGTTTGCTTTTTGTTTGTTTTCGACATAGAACTTTGCACATATGTACGGCAGTTCAAGTCGTCACACTCCCTCCATGTAGTACACAAAGCCAGAAAAGAAGAAAGTACGAGAAATGCATATAAGAGAGAGAGACAGTAAACAGAGGTGTGAGACAAAGGAATAGTAATAACGAAGAACAAAACAGTTTCATTGGAAATCATAAGTCAGCCAGTCACAAGGAGTGGATGCATCTACATCAGCCATTGAGAAAGATTTTGAGCCATGTCACCAATTGTTTCTAGCCTTCATTGGTTTTTACCGTCCCGAGGACCCCAACCAGTCAGTCAGGAAGCCAGTCTACACCTTCCTGCGTGGCTGGCTTAGACTAACTGTTGCAGATTTCGTTGACTGGTGAAGTCATGTCTTGGTTTGACCGCCACTCGCTAGCTCTTTTCCACTCTGACCCTAAATCAGCTAACATTGCCCATTGTCGAGGAAGGCGATGACTAGGGATGCATACGTAACACATGTCCTGACCATCTCAGTCGATGTAATTTCACAGCCTCGTCGATTGATTTCCAATTCCTCCTTACCAACTAGCACTCGACCGATGGCCTAACCTCAATATTGCTCACCTTATTATACCGCTTCACACACACGGGAGATAGAACGCAGACAGCTATGATCAAAGAGAGCTAGCCGGTCTTTTCATGTCTTCCACTCTGAATGACCAGGTCTCACAGTCATAAAGGAGGACGGAGTGGACTGATGAGCAGTACACACGCCCTTTTGTCGATAGCCAGCCGGATATCACGTCTACTAAGCCAGAGACGGCGTAAACTGGCATATGCGCAAAGCCACCAGGGAGTATTGAACAGCGGCTTCGTCCTAGTTTTGGGACTTGTCATGAGTACTCATTCACAACCTTCACGTTATGAGGACAAGTCCGCTGACCATGGAGCCACTTGGTTTGAATCCAAACATTCATGAATCCTAACTTCTGTCATTCTGCGATTTTAGCGCTGCAACCAGCTTATTTCGTCAGCGCTAATTAAACTCCATAGACCATTGGATTTCAACCCAAGTGGCTAAATGGTCAACCACCTTGACTCTTCATAAACTGAAGGAAGGTTGCAGGTGTTTGGTTCTTGGTGGAGGTGGTGATGGTGGTGTGGGTGTATTCTGCAGACTAGTAACAAACTTTGGAGGAGACGGCTGACTATCCAGTACTCCCTGCTGGTTTTCAGTGGTTCTCTAACTGACATCAATCTGTGATCAAACTTGAAACAATATATTCATAACTCGATGACGTTTCGAGCACATATCATACTCTATCAGGGTATTCATTCGACTTCCTGACTTTCTTTGCATAAATTAACTCCTTTTCTTGGCTGTTTTTTTATTGTAATTCTTTGTATATATGCGGTGTATGGCAGTATATGGCGTCATTTAGACTGAATGTGTCAGTGTCTGTAAGAATGGTGTATGTGCCTTGCACCGACTAAGTTCAAAGTACTGTTACAAGATTGGCAGGAGCCTGTTGTATCTGCACTCACTCTTGTGGGTGAACCGCTTGAAGTTGTTGATAAGTTTGTGTATCTGGGTAGTTGTGAGAGTGCTGGCGGAGGAGTGACGGATGAGATTTCCAACCGTATAATGAAGGCTAGGGTGGCATACATCAACTTTGAGCCACCTCTCGCGCAGTTGTGACGTTAGTCTGGCTGTCAAAGGTCGGGTATACGATGCTTCGGTGCGGGCTGTCTTGCTCTAAGCCAGGCCTGTGAAACCTGGCCTCTCCGAGCTGAGGATGTTCGGCGACTCTGCGTGTTCGATCATCGCTGTCTCCGAAGGATTGCTTGCGTTCGATGGCATCTTCGCTTGAGTAATTCTGAGGTTCGGCGGCGTGTGTTTGAACACAGTGGAGATCACCATTCATTGAGTATAGTCATCTAAAAACACCGGCTCCGGTGGCTTGGACATGTGCTGAGAATGTCATCCCAGAGGCTTTCGTACAGGTCTCTGTTCGCTAGCCAGCCCTGGGACGGGATAGAAAAGACGGAGCGGAAGTGGTCAGTCCATGACGTGGCGTCGTGGGATGAAGGGTTTTTGAGCTAGATTAGCATCGGTTGGTGCATCACGACTCTCTGGTTGGGGTCCTCGAGATAGCTCGAATCGATGGCTCGAAAGGTTATCGGATATGGCCAAGAATCGTAATCAATGGCGAACGTGTTGCAATTTCCTTCTTTCTTCCCTTCCTGATGATAGTTAACGAATACTGTTTGAACTTGTTAGGTATGGTTATTTTCCTTCCTTCCAGATGAAGTTCTTTATCCGTTCTCTACCCGTATTTTTACTTTTAATCTATGTTGTTTTATTATTATTATTGTGTGTGGTGCATCTTTCTTGGTGCCATATTGTACCAAGTTTTTTCTTCTGCGTTTAAATAACAAGACTGACTGTATTTAGTTTTGCTTCGATTAATTGAGATTCGGTGGTTAAAGCCTCTCTCTATCCACCTAATTATATCACTTTTTCGATATTTTCGCTTCACCTCACCTCACCCTATTTTATGACTGAATGCAAGTGAATCCACTGTAATGACCGAGCTGTTTTCGAAATCATTCACCTTGGAAGACTCCATCATTCTATCTCTAGCTGAATTCCTACGTTCCAATAATCTAATTGATCCCATGTAATTGACCTCACAGTCATTAAATGGCGCAGCAACATCCAGCGACAATCACCATCAACGGAAGGGATTTGAAAGAGGTTACTTCATTCACTTATCTAGGGAGGGAGCATTGTCTCAACTACAGGAGAAACGGACGAGGATGTCAAATCGAGAATCGGGAAGGCGAGAAACACATTCATCAACCTGAAACCAATCTGGAAATCTTCCACTGTCACTCAACTCAGCATCGACAACAACAAAATGATTCGGATTTTCAATACAAACGTCAAGTCAGTCAGTTCTTCTATACTCATATTTCCAACAGCCTGTTGCAGACCTTCATCAACAACAACTGTCTTCGATGTATCCTGAAGATCAGATGCTCGCCGAAAAGAACAAGAATCAAGAAGAAACTATGGGAACAAACAAAACAAACAAGAACCAATCGCTCAACAAATAAGCAGGAGAGAGAAGTGGAGATGGATTGGACACTCACTCGCTGAGGAGGCCACTGGGTGGGTGACATCGCACGTCAGTCAGGCCATAGGTCGAGTGGATCCCGAAAGGGAATCGGCGAGTGGGACGTCAGTGCAAGGGTGACATGGAGGAGATCGTGTGAAGAGGAGTTGCGAGAGTATGGACTAACATGGATGCAGGTGAAAAGTACAGCAGAAGACAGAAACAAGTGGAGACGTGTAGGTGAAGCCCTATGTTCCACTAGGAACCCAGGGGAAAAATTATAATACTAATAATAAATCATACTATTTGTTTCTTGCTATTTCATGTCGTCAACTTGATGAAGTTTGTCTCTAAGTTAGTCGGTTGGTTTAAATACTACCCTAATTCCAGCCTTATTAATAATCCTACATCAATCATCTGACGGTATTTCTTTATAAAGCAGCTCTCATGTGCCAGGTAAGTCGTATTCACTGCTTTCACATGTCTGTAGTGTTCCTCATAAAAAGAAGAAAAAAGGGCGAATTTGAATGTCTGACACTTACACCCAGACTAATGGGCTTGCAGGAGTTGGGAAACCGTGATTCCTAACCTACCTATGGTACACCTGGTCTCTAGAATCCGAAAGGACCAAGTGTGTTTTGTTGCTCCTGATTTGTTCGCCGAAAACCCTGGGAAAGTGGCAGCTGTCCGTCCCACTGTCGTGTTGATTAGGCTTTTAGTCAAATTCTGCTTGAAGGGTTTAGGGTTTCGCTCTAGGAATCCGAGCAGTATCCCAGCGCATCTCATGACCCTCATAATTTACCAGATTTTCCTTTTTTCAATAATACATTTTATGATCCCCGTGAATTGATACAATGTCTTTTTTTTGTGTGTGTTGTTTTTTCATTCAAATCCCCTCGCCCCGTCTAAAAAACAACAGGTTCTTGATTTACAAAAAACAATTGAAAATATCTCAGTGTATGATAATGCAGAGCATGGAGTGATCCGCTTAACTGGGATTTGTTTTCAACCGTTGAAACCAGATAATCTAGGCTGTGCTGTAACCAGTCCAATGGAATACTTTCAAAATAATCTCACTTTGTTCAATTTCATTGTAAGTGTTATTTATTTACATTATAAAATGTTTATTTATTTATTTTTTTTTACTTTTTATATTTACTATGCTCTTATATCATCTTATCAATCATATCTAAGTGTTTTATTATTATTTTTTTAAAAATAACTTTTACATAATTTAAAATTACGTAATAGGTATGTGAATTCCAGTGCTCGCCTCTCTCCTTTTCTTGTGTTTCTGTCTCGCGTGCATATTCTGTTTCAGTTCCTTCCTTTACATTCTGAATGGAACATAAAAAGGCTCAAGCCTGAGCTTTAAAGTTTCGCAAGCAGTTGTCTGATATTTTTTTCTTTACAGGAGTTGGGGATTCTAGCTTCATATTCAACCTTCCTTATTTTTAACAGGCTTGCGCGTCAGTTGGGGATCGAATCCCGGAGCATTTACTGCGTAGCTGACAAGCTGTTACCTTCCTGAAAAAAGTTAGAGAGAGAGAGAGATAGCCTTCGATGCCTTTTCTAATTGTCGAAATTAATTTAAATCATGGAAAATTCCCATTGTAACATATAGAAAATCAAAACAAGTGGTGATTCAGCGAAGAGACTCTTTTCAAAGAATTTATCATCAAGCTGTACAATCGTCTATATATATGGAGGGCTTTTAAGAAGTTATATCCGGTGAGGGAATTGAATCATAGGTGTGAATGCATAAAATAATAATAATAGTAGTATGAAATGCAATTAAGACTAAAATGTTTGTGATTATAATCGTAGTTAAATGTCAAGTGGCAAAGCAAATTAATGTCATATATAGAATAATTCATAGGATAGATAGAACTTGAAAAAGGGTGTGCAATTATAAGATCAGTAGACAAATCGAATAAAACAAAGAAACGTTACGTAATATTGTGTGAAATTTAATAGCATAGAATTTAAAGTTTATAAAAAGGAATTGATTTAGAATGACAAGTGGAACAATTGAAATAATACCGGGGACAGTTAAAAGTGAGAGTAGTAATAGTAAAAATTGACGTAATATAAAGGAAGAGTATACAATTTGAATGATTACGAAAAGGTGGAAGTGGAGCAATAAGAAGCGCGATCATTGAACATCTGGTCGGTAATGATCACCCTATCTCTATAGCCTCCGCCTTCAAAGTCATCTACAAGGCAAAGAGTAATTTACCAAAATCCCTACGTACCCAACTCATCTGTATTGCTAAAGCGATCTTTGGCTATCGAAACAGAAAAGCCAGATGTCTGTGTACAGAAAAAAGTTCGTTCAAACCCTCCAACTTTCATGGTCTCTATACTAAAGTATGGTAATTCCCAATCATATTTTAAGCTCTACCAATTTTTCATCTTTCATTTTTATCTATTCAATTTGTATACTCTTCCTTATTACGTCAATTGTTACTATTACTACTCTCACTTCTAACTGTCCCCGGTATTATTTCACTTGCTCCACTTGTCATTCTGAATCACTTCTGTTTTGCAACATTAAATTCTATGTTATCAAATTTCACACAATATTACGTAACGTTTTTATTTTATTCGATTTGTCTACTAATCTTATAATTGCACACCCTTTTTCAAGTTCTATCCATCCTATGAATTGTTCTACATATGACATTAATTTGCTTTGCCACTTGACATTTAACTACGATTATAATCACAAACATTTTAGTTTTAATTGCATTTCATATTATTACTATTAATTATTATTTTATGCATTCACACCTATGTTTCAATTCCCTCACCGGATATAACTTCTTAAAAAATACCATATATATACGATTGTATAGCTTGGTGATAAATTCGTTGAAAAGAGTCTCTTCGCTGAATCATTTGTTTTGAAATTAATTTACACAAGAATTTATAGCATTTTTAATGAGATCATCATCGAAACAACATCAGTTACAGAGCTACCGAAAACCAGTGGACAGGTGGTTTTTCGTTCTCTAGATTGATATTCTTCATACGCTTTATACGGTCAACCACCACCTCACCGGGAATCGAACCGAGAATCTTTTGTTTACGAAATGCGCGAACCCATTGAATAAATATTCAACTATTAAGAATCTAATAACCTATGGTGGCTCTTTAACCCACTACTGCTCATTCACAATGTGTAATCTGAGTTGTTCTGGTCGTGGTCTGTCAACTGCGATAATAGTGCTGCTGCGTGCTGCTAAATACAGGATCAGGAGGAAACAGTTATCCAGCATTGTTTGTTGGTTTCCAGTGGTACTATAAATTGAAATCATATCTCTATTATTATTTTTATATTATTGTTCCCTTGGGTTCCTAGTGGAACATACGGCTTCAACTACATATCTCCACTTGCTTCTGTCTTCTGCTGTACTTTTCACTTGCATCTATGTTAGTCCATACTCTTTCAACTCTTCTTCACACGATCTCCTCCATGTCACCCTTGCACCGACGAACCACTCGCCGCTTCCCTTTCGGGTTCCACTCGAACTATGGCCTGACTGAAGTGCGGTGTCACCCAGCGGCCTCCTCAGCCAGTGTCCAATCCATCTCCACTTCTTTCTCCTGCATATTTATTGGGCGATTGGTTCTTGTTTTGTTTCTTCCCATAGTTTCTTGTTGGTTCTTTTTCTTTCCGGTCATCTGATCTTCAGCATAGAGCCAGCGGAGACAGTTGTTGATAAAGGTCTATCATATCATATCTCTGCCAACCAATAATTGTAAATGAATTTCTAGTTGTGAATTGGAACTTTCTATTTGGTTGTGAATATTGTCTCCACAGTAATATATTTAAAACAATCAGTCCCTTTAATATATATTCAGGTAGTGTTTTCAGAAGAAGGGGAATATCTGAAGACATGTCGAACGATCGGATCACATACACATTTACTTGACAAATCAACTTATGTGAAAAATAAGAGGCCAGTGAAAATATACCTAGTGACAACAGATTTAGGATTATAGATAATAAGAATAGCTAACACTATATTTGGTAATCAGATCAGATCAGAATTACCGAGTTAGGTAATTACCGAGGTAATGGGCTATAGACACAGGTCCTCCGTCCTTAACTGGGATTACAACAGCTGTAACGAGTCTGAAACAAGGCATACAGTGCGACCTGATGGAATGGCTCCAAAGGTGTTTAAGGACGGTGGAGACAGTTTACTGTTTGCGTTAACTGAGGTATTAGGCAGAGTCTCCGAATCAGAGGTAGTCCCGTCGAGCTAGTGTAAGTCATTGATTATCCCGATATACAAGAAGAGAGACAAGTCTTCCTGTGATAATCACAGGGGGATAAGCTTGACTAATGTGGTATCTAAAGTTCTTGGCTCAATAACGATGCGTAGACTAAGCGGTGCTCGGCAGGAACAAACACGAGAGAACCAGGCAGGCTTTAGACCAAGAAGAGGGTGTATTGATCATCTCTTCACCCTTCGACAAATTCTGGAACATAGGCATCCTTACTGGCGCCCAACAATTGCCATATTTCTTGACCTGAAAGCAACATTTGATTCCGTAGACCAAGGGATGCTATGGTGATGTTTGACTGTGAAGGGAATGTCGAGAAAATACATTGCACTGACCAAGGCAGTCTACTCGAAGTCATGTAGTAGGCCAGGTAAGAGCTTGTAGAGTATTGTAATCTGAAGTGGTGACAACTAGGGGTGTCCGCCAGCCAGGGATGCCCACTGTCTCCATGACTTCTGTTTAGTTTCACCATTGACGTACTAATGGACTTAACTCTAATTGACTTCAGCGACTCAGGGACGCTGATATGATGCAGAGTCTTCTGAATACCTTGAAGAACAGCAGTCTCCGAATGGTTTGCATGCGACTTGCTCCTGCTATCATGTGGTAGATGATGCTACAGGACTGGACTAGACCGACTACTTCTGGCTTAAAGATAGCGATGGATTGCAGTGGTTGGTGGAGCTTGTTGACCAATTCACTCATTTCGGCAGTTGCATCAGCCAGTCCCATCAGGTTCATCGCTAACGAGATCTCACCATGAATACAGGATTTTCGTTTGGCATATACCCGTCAACTTATGCCATCTCTGGCTTAGTAGACTTGATATCCGGCTGTCAACTAAAGGAAATGCATACTACACAGCTGCAGTTCGCTCTGTCCTCCTTTATGGCTGTAAGTGAGACATGGTCCCCATTGAAAGTGGAAGACATGAATAGGTTGGCTAGCTGTCTTTTATCATAAGTGCCTGTCTGTCTGTCTGTCTCACGTGTTAATTGGTATAATAAGGTGAGCAATATTGAAGTTAGGCATCGATCGAGTGGCAGTTAAGGAAGGTAAATCATTAGTGGATGCTCATCGAAGGCTCATTGGTAAGCGCGTAGCGCTGTACCACGAACTAATCGAAGTTACAATAAATCGGTCGCTGAATGGTCAGTTAGCTGCTTGGCCTCGTAACCTGAAGGTCCTTAATTTAGATTCTTGGTGGGATCATGAATGCGCGTACTACTGAAGAGTCCTATCAAACAAGGACGAAACAACTGTGCAGTCCACCCTAGTTTTCGTCATTTTTATCACATGTCTTACAGAGAGTCAGTCATTCTTGATCTAGAATATATATTTCATTGGCAAAATCGCTGACAGACATTTCAAGAGACTGTGGTTGACGAGAACAGTTTTTGATCCATTTGTTGTTTTAAGATTAACCCCTGTTAAGTTTAGTAGACACCTCCTCACCTCGTCCGTCACCACCTCATTGAAGAAAGAATTAATCCGTTTATCATCGCGTGATTGATAATTAATTGTACTTTAACAGATTGTCTGATTTCCCACAAACTGGAAGACATGCAAGCGAAAAGCAACAAGTTAGCAGAAGAAGCATCAAAGATAGGACTTCAGGTGAACATAGATAAAACAGAGGTGATGAAAATTCCTGGGCAACAACAACAACAGACAACAATCAGCATAAATGGGAGGAACCTGAAAGAAACAACCTCCTTTACCTACCTACCTACCTACCTACCTACCTACCTGGGAAGCATCGTTTCAACTACAGTCGAACAGAATTGACGAGGATATCAAAGCAAGAATCGATCGGGAAAGCAAGACAAGCTCTCACTACTCTCAAGTCTGTGTGGAGGTCAACAGCACTACTCAGCATCAAAAATAAGATCCGGATTTTCAACACCAATGTGAAGTCAGTCAGTGCCACTTACTATACGGATGGATCAGAGACTTGCATTGCGCGTCATAAAGAGCATCTCAAAGAAACCACAGACCTTCATTAACAGCTACCTGTCTTCGCTCAATACTACTCAAGATCAGATGGCCGGCCGACCAGAAAAGATCACCAACAGAGAGGGGTCTCTGGCGGCAATGAGCGAACCAACCAACACAGCAGGAACCAACCGATTGTGAAACAAATAGGCAGGAAGAAATGGAGGTAGGTGGATTGGCTGGCCATACTCTGAGGAAACAAGCCATAAAGTGAGTGACATCACTAGACAAGCCATTGCTCGAGTGGAACCTGAAAGGGAAGGGGCGAGTTGGTTGTCAGTGCAAGGGTGGAGTGACTTGGAGGAGGTCATGTGAAGAGGAGATGAAAGTGTGTGGGCAGACATGGAGCCAGGTGAAGACTCTAGCAGAGAACAGAACGCAATGGAGACTTGGGTGTCTGAAGCCCTATGTTCCTGTAGGAATTAAAAGATACAATAATAATAATAAATAATAACAGATTGACATTGATTTCAACAATTGAACTGTTTTATTGTGTCATCTTAGTCTCATGTTGTTTGGTTGTTGTTTTTTTGTTGTCCATAAATACGTCTGTTTACAGTTGTTATATTAGATCATAAGAGAGAGAAAAGAACAATGTATATCTGAGTGTGAATTGAATAAGAATTATTCCGAAAATCGTTTAATTACCAAAAACATTGAGATTAATAGTGTAGTGCACAAAGAATATTCAGTAATTTTTATGTCATCAAATAAAACCATTACACATATGCATTATTATTATTATTATTATTATTATTATTATTATTATTATTATTATTATTATTACTGTTATTGACACCACTAATGTTGTTTTTAATAACACCGAATAATTGAGATCAAAGATTCAAGATGTACATGTGCGTGGGTGGGTGCGTGTGTGTGAATATATACTGTTATTAGATTATGTTAATATGCATATAAATATATATACAGTTTCAAGTTTTACCACAGACAACTGTTAGTTAGATAACCATTGAAAACGAATAAGGTGTACTGGTCTGTCTGTCTGTTTTCGACGTAGAACTTTGCAAATATGTGCGGAAGTTCAAGTCGCCACACTCCCTCCTTGTAGCACACAAAGCCAGAAAAGAAGAAAGTAGGAGAAATGCATATTAGAGAGAGACAGAAAACAGAGGTGTGGTGAGACAAAGGAATAGTAATAACGAAGAACAAAACAGTTTCATTGGAAATCATAAGTCAGTCACAAGGAGTGGATGCATCTGCACCAGCCAGCCATTGAGAACGATCACTTTGAGCTAGCCATGTCACCAATTGTTTCCAGCCTTCATTGGTTTTTACTGGCCCGAGGACCCCAACCAGTCAGTCAGGAAGCCAGTCTACACCTTCCTACGTGGCTGGCTTAGACTAACTGTTGTGGATTTCACTGACTGGTGAAGCCATGTTTTGGTTTGACCACCACTGTCTAGCCCTTTTCCAGCCTGATCCTATATCAGCTAACATTGCCCGTTAGTCGAGGAAGGCGATGACTAGGCCACGCATATGTAACACATGTCCTAACCATCTCAGTTGATGTAATCTCACAGCCTTGTCGACTGATTTCCCCTCCTTACCAACTAGCACTCGATCGATGGCCTAACCTCAATATTGCTCACCTTATTATACCACTTCACATACACGGGAGATAGAACACAGACACCTCTGATCAAAGAGAGCTAGCCGGTGTTTTCATGTCTTCCACTCTCAATGGCCAGGTCTCACAGCCATCCATAAAGGAGGACGGAGCGGACTGATGAGCAGTACACACGCCCTTTGGTCGATAGTCGGATAGTCGGATGATGTCAATTGACTCATACAGTGGCGAAGAACAAGTTACGGTCGGTGAAGGTCGATTGGAGTTTGTTTGTTTTCCTGCACGAAGAACGTCTTACTGACTGACTCACTGACTGAAAGATACGATTTTTTTTAATAACATGCCTGAAGCATGATCACTTTTTTTAAAAAAAATTCCAAATTCATAAACATGATTATATTTGCTTTCGAACTGATACAATGACACAGTTTGGATTGCTCATCAATATTCAGTGTGGTTGAGTTTCACTTACTATTATTATTATTACTTCATACATTTGGTTCTCTTGATAAATTTCGATAGAGAAAGAAAGACCAGATTTCCAGTTTAAAAGATACCATGATTCTGTTTCACAGGTTCTCATCAGCTGCAAGGTACCTGAAATTACAATGGTTATAAATAATAACATTTCATACTTCATTGTTTGAAAGGTAATACAGAAAGCATTATAAGATAAACGCATCCTGAATATAAGGATTGAAATATTGTAGTTTAAGTTACCATCAATTTATATACTATCAAACTATGAAAAAAGAAAAAGGGGGGGGGTGAGAGAAGACAAAAAAGAGAAAAATCTAATAAACAGTGTCAACATGGCAACTCAACAAGGTTAAAGTTCATCAATTTGAAAACTTGCTTAGTGAGTTGAGCCCACTAGTGTGTATGAGTTTTCAGTGTAATGAAAGTGATATGGTTACCAAGGGAGTGAGAGATTGACTACACTCTCTTTCTGTGTGCATAAGTTTAGTCTGAGACGTTTGATTGCAATTGCTTCAGCAGTAAATCGTAGTAGATTCGCTGTCCTTTGTATGTTTAATATTTTGAAGGATTTGGAAATCTCGACAAAATGGCCCGTATCCACAAGGTGTCTGGTAATTGCACTTTTTAAATATCTGCTTCCTTTTAAGCATAAGTTTCTCGGAATATGCTGTGAAAAACCTTCTTTCTGTCCTTCCAATGTACTTGCTGCTGCAGGTGCACGTAAATTTATAAATGCAGTTGGAGGTAACATCAGCAGGGTACTTATCCAGTTTCGATTGGCTTATAGAGCATGTAGTATTGTATGGTGTCACCAGATTGGCTGCAGGGAAGCATCTCTTTATTGTTCCTTTCATCCTCTTTTCAATCTTTTGCGATACAGTTTCTCCTTTGTATGGGAGGCAAATGAACACTTTCTTCTTTTCAACTGTTGGATACTTCTCTTTCTCATCTGTTTCTTTGCTGTGCTTTAGGATAAATCCTTTTGGATACCCGTTTTCCTTAAGGCATTTTTCAACAAAGCTTAATTCTTCTTCTATTTTGTTGGGCGAACATAACTTCCTGGCCCTGTCGTACAGTGTCCTTACTAATCCCCGCTCATAGCTCATAGGGCAGAAGCTGTTGTAGTGAAGGTATTGTCCGGTCCAAGTTTCTTTTCTGTAGATGAACTTTTCGACCGTTCCATTGTCTATTCTTTTTACATTTAGGTCCAGGAAATTGAACTCATCGTTGTGTTCGTACTCCATGGTGAATTTAATGTTTGGGTGGATCTCATTTAGCCGGTCAAATAATACGGATGCCTGACTCATGTCGTTACAAACAACAAAAGTATCATCGACGTATCGACGGTAGAATGTTGTTTCATTGATAGCGTCACTCAGCCGCGTCTGTTCCAGATAGCCCATGAAGATATCTGCTAGAATGGGTCCTAGAGGTGAACCCATGGCGACCCCATCAATTTGTCGTTAGAATTGGTTATTGAATCTAAATTGGATGGATTTCTTTTGTGCAAAGAATTAGTAGTCAGTCGTTTCATCTCTGACTCCGGTAATGGCAATAGATCTGTTTGTTTACAAATGATATCTATTTGTTTTCATTACTGGTACATTTGTAAATAAGGCAGTCACGTCGCATGACACCATTAGTTTATTGGATATGTCAACGTGATCGACTTCTTTAGAAAATTGAAAGGTGTCATCCAAGCTATGATTTGAAAATTTATTATTATTGTTGTTATTACTATTATTATTATTGTTATTATTATTAATAAACTCTTCGTATCTTTATGTGTTTGTGTATATGTGTCTTGCACTTTAGAACAAAGATGATTTCGATCTGCCTATAAATGATTATTTGGATCATTTAATGTACTGTGCAGATGCTCCATTATCAACAAGTGGTTCCCCACTAGATTCATCCATCGGTTGTCTTTCCTCTTCTGGAATACCATTACCACCGCAACTTATATTCGGTGGTTTCAATGGTTAGTTAGTTCATTTCCTTATATCATTGTGTTTTTTTGTTTTTCTCTGGTTTAATTGATTAATTTTCAGTGGAGAGAGTCCCAAACTAGGACGTAAGAAACTGCTGTCCAGTACTGAAGTGCTGCTGGCTTTCTACTGGCTCTCTAACCGATATCAGCTTATGATGATGAAATCCTGTGTTAGTTTGCATGGTGTGAATTGAATTGAATGGATTTCAAGCTTTGGTTATGAACTGAATTTAATCGGAGTAGCATTGGGAGGAACTAGTGAGTACGGGAGTAATATAGTATGAGACACTCCAACAGCTGTAGTATAGTGCACACCTACAACCGCACCATCGGGTGTCGAAAGTAGGACCTACAGTTAACAAGACGAACTCGTATACCTTAAGGCTATAGGGATGGAATCCAGTAGATGTGCCATCAATTCGCGACCAGTAGGATGCAGCAGGTCGGGTGTGAGGACAAATACTCGCCGAAGACATTGGCTAGGGGTCGCGCTATGTCGTGAAATGGCAGAAGTTAGAATTCATGGGTCATTGGATCGGGTCCCAGTGGTTTAATGGTATACGAGCTCGCCTTGTAAACACAAGGTCCTGGGCTCGAACCCCCAGTGGTGGGTGCGTACTGATGAAGAGTCGCAAACTAGGACGAAACAGCTGTCCAGTACTCCCAGGTTTTCCAATGGTTCTCTAACTAATGTCAGCTCATGATGAATTCCTGTAATTCTCACTTTCATCGATTCGTGATATACAACCCGACGCCAATCGATGTCATCAGGGAATATTTGTCTTAACACACTCATTTTAAGTGGACACCTGGTAGAACTTTAGGCAACTTCATCTTGTAGTCCCATAGTCACTGATAAACACACTAGAATAGTTTTCAGGGGGTTTTTTTCCACATGGATTCGAACCAACACAAATTCGATAACAGTTTGATTCCTCGAGCTTCAAAAGAAGGAGATTGTGATCTGCACTCTTCACCAAGTCGTGTTTGAGGACAAATTCTCGCCAACGACATCATTGACTAGCGTTGTCATGGCCAAAATTGAAATCAGCATTTTTAGTCAATGTCTGCAGAGTTTAATAATAATTCGCTTTATTCCAAAACAGTACTTGTGATACAGAATGGAATTCTCAGCATTTTTACTACAGTACAGTATTGCATCCAGTTAGTACATTATCAATAAATAAAATTCTACATAGATTAAGGGTAATCTCAGTTCATTATGACAACAACATATTGGCATGTCGGTAGCAAAGCCAAAGCTGAACAGTTTTTGAAGGTGTTAGAAAAGTAGATACTATCATATTTACTGGCGTAAGCCGAAGAAAGAAACAAAGCAAAACATAACGGAAAAAAAGAGAGAAAAGAGAGAGGGAGAAAAGGAAAAGAAAGAAAGAAGACGTTGTACCTATAAATGATATGAGTTGGAAAGACGAGGTCCAGTTGTTCTACTGACTACTTAATGAATTATAGGTGTCACGCCTAATGCTTTCTTTATCGCACAGAACATGAGATAAGTAGGGTATGGTTGAGTTTTTGTACTTGCTAGTGCAAGCATATAGTTTTCTATATAGGCTTCTGGTTTTGCCTGATGAGATGCAAGGGTAGGGGAGAGTTGTGAATGAAGAGGGTGTGGTGTGAGTTAGATAAAATGGATTTGGCCCATTTTTTCACATGAGTCTATGTTCCTGTTAACCAGAATATTAACAAGCTGGTTAAGTGGCACATTGCTTACCGTGCTGACAATCTTTAATATCCTGCGTAATAAGGTATGGTCTTTCTTCAGTAGCCCGGGAAAAACTAAGAGGGAACAATAGAGAATAATAGTCAGAATTCGAGAGTTAACGGATTGTAGGAGTAAGGGTTGGGGGTTATACCAGAATGTCTTAACTTCTTGATGTAGAAGGTAAGACGGAATATTTTCTTAGAAATCGTCAAGATATGAGGCGACCAGGAGAGATCAGCAGATAGAATGATACCTAGGTATTTGATTTTCGACTTGGTTTCTATTTGAGTGCCATCTATGTTGCACACCTCGTGAGAGCTAACCAGTTTGTTCAGGTCAGATTTATCCCAAAAGGTGAAACTGACAGCATACTTAACAAAAAATAATGTCATTTGAAGATGGTAAGTCATGTAGAAAGAAAGAAAAGGGGAGTCGGGAGAGGACACCAGCTTCAGTGAGCGCAGCAGAGTAAGATTTACCTTTGTATATGGTGTACTGCATTCTGTTAAAGAAGTAGGAATGCAACCAGTTAGTGACCCAGGACTCAGTTTTTGTCATAGAGAGCTTATTTAGCGAGAGACATCTAGGTGCAGAGTCGAAAGCAGAAGTGAAGTCGTTTACGTTGTTTTCCTGAAATGACCTCATTGGACAACTTGTCTGGCCTTGGGTCAGTCACCAAAACAATCAAAATAAGAAGTTATTTTCATCTGACTGACCCAGACGAACTTTAATATATGGCTGAGAATGCATAACTAAGTATGATGTGGACTTGCTTTTCACACTGAAGGTCCTAGGTGTTGGATCGTTGTCAGTGGGGTTTTAGTTGCATACTGTTTAAGAGTCTCAAACTAGAACGATACATTTGTCCAATGCCTCCTGCATTTCAAGGATTCTCTCAGTGGTATGTCAATTTATTACCTACTTTGAAATCCCTCTGAGTTGTTCACCGACTTTGTATGTAATCAAGTAGACAAGTGGATGTGATACCCTATTGCGTTATTACCAATTCTCTTGGTTCTTCCTATTTCAATAATAATTTATTATTATTTATTTACCTACCGAACTGGGAAGCATCGTTTCAACTACAGGCCAGCGGAACTGACGAGGATATCAAAGCAGCAAGAATCGGAAAAGCAAGACAAGCTTTCACTACTCTCAAATCTGCGTGGAGACCAAAAGTCAGCACTCAGCATCAAAACAAAGATAAGATCCGGATTTTCAACTCCAATGTGAAGTCAGTCAGTGCTACTCACTATACGGATGGATCAGAGACTTGGCCAGCGCGTCACAAAGAGCATCTCAAACGAAATGCAGACCTTCATTAACAGTTGTCTTCGCTCAATACTACTCAAGATCAGATGGCCGGCCGGCCAGAAAACATCAGCAACAGAGAGGGATCTCTGGCAATGAGCGAACCAACCAACACAGCAGGAACCGATTGTGAAACAAATAGGCAGAAAGAAATGGAGGTAGGTGGATTGGCTGGCCATACTCTGAGGAAACAAACCATCAAGTGAGTGACATCATTAGACGAGCCATTGCTCGAGTGGAACCCGGCCGAAAGGGAAGCGGCGGCGAGTTGGTCGTCAGTGAAAGGGTGGGGTGACTTGGAAGAGGTTATGTGAAGAGGAGATGAAAGGGTGTGGGCACACTTGGATCCAGGTGAAGACTCTAGCAGAGAACCGAACGCAATGGAGACGCACGGCTGAAGCCTTATGTTCCTCTAGGAATTAAAGGAAACAATAATAGTAAGTAATAATACAAGAGAATGAGCGAATTAGTGATTGCTTTTGAACGACCAAATTGCCCGTCCCCCTGTATTGACCTTCATTCTATTCATTAGTTAATTGGTATCTCTATGCTTGTAATTATTATTATTTCTTTCAATTTAAAAGCTTCATTTTACAATGGATCAACTTCTGTTGTGTTGACATTCCTTGTGAATAATAATCCTGATCCGAGATCACCACAAGTTTTACGAGCAAAACTATGGGAAAGTGAATATATTAAAGTGGTCAATCAATGGAAGGCGAATAATCCTGAGATCATTGTTAGTTTTCAAGCTGAAGTAAGTTCTGTTTGAATTGTTTTTTTAGAAAACAGAAAAATTGAGCGAAGAAATATTTACTTTTCAGTTAGATCCTCATCTCTGGCTCCACTCTAATATATTCTGTATAGCATTTTTATTACAATACACAACAGTTTACCAAACAAGTGGCGATATATTTGTTAACAATAATTAAACAGTGTCAAAATGTCATTGGGTTGATAATTAACGAAGAAAATCAATGCACACATTTAAAAGGTAGAAATGGTTAGAATAAATTAATTTTACAAGGATAACACGTAATTAAAGATGAAGTGGTCAAAATAAATAAAAATAAAATAATTTGAACAATTATAGTTTTTAAAGGTTTAGGGGGACGGGGGGCGACGTAGTCCTGTTTATACATTCTTCTAGAGATGGCCACGGTAAGGAAAGTGGCTGTACAAATTTCTTCTGAACACATAGGCTTGGCTTCTTCAGGTGGATTCCGATTGCTTCAGCTGTCTGTAGAAGACGAACTCGTAGAGCAAAGTTAAGATTAGTCGGAATGCGGTAAATAATTTTAGATGCAGTATTAACATCAACCTTATGCTCAGTATCAACAAGGTGTGCTAAAATAGAACTACAAATAGATCTAGTTTGTCCCTTGCTTAACCATGTTGGATGATGTTCGGACATACGACGATGAAACTGCCTAATTGTACGCCCAGTGTAGCTGGATTCGCAGCTGCGGTCAAACTGGTAGATACACATGGAAGAGGCAAAATTGGGTTGTTTATCCTAATTTCTCGAACATAGAATAGGAGTGGTTGTGAAGAGACAACGTACCTCTGCTGCATAATAAGCTCTTTTAACTGCATTCTTCAGGCACTGCGTTATTGTTTCGCTGATGTTGTCACCGAGGAACTGCAATTTTATGAACAATGGTTTCTTCGGAACTGTAGTCATACTGACTCACCTTGGTTCTGAATTCATATTTTTCTCAATGAATTTATCTGGATAACCATTTTTTTCTAAGTAATTCTCCAATAATCTTAAGCTCCTCATTGAGGCAGTCGTCTGACACTGACTAATTATTGTTAACAAAGATATCAGTGCCACTTGATTGGTAAACTGTTGTTTATTGTAATAAAAATGCTATGTATATTAGAGTAGAGCCAAAAATGAAGATCTAATTTAAAAGTATATATTTCTTCGCTCAATCTTTCTGTTTTCTAAATGTCTAAATGGGGAGTTTTTCTATATTGAATTTTTTTTAGCAGTCCTTGAATTTTTGTTGTTGTTCAGTTGTGATACCTTTGGTTGGTGTGGCTAAATAAAATAAACTGACTGAAGTGCAACACATAGACGTTTGCACAGAAGTACAGAACTTTAAGTTGTTACACTTCTTCATACACCTTACTAAGGTGTAGGTAGGTAGGTAGGCAGACAAAAGAGTCATCTGTATCATTGAGTGAGGATTAGAGAGGTTTCGCGTGCATTTCGGATTGTGAGGGCGATTGTTACTTCCCGGCTGCCGCCCACACCGTGGAAGTTGGTTGCGTGACCGCAAAGCCCAGCGGACAACTGCTTGAGGCCGGTCACACGCGGTCTGCTTTTGTTTGTTCTTTTTCTTGTTATGTGTGTCTCAGTAGCATATTTATCACTTCTGCCCTGTGACACGGCAGCATGAAGCGCGGTCGTTGTATTGGGTATACCTGATATAGGTGCAGGTTGGAAAAGAGTAAGTGGTGGCCAAACAAAAACATGGCCTCATCAATCCATGAAATCCTTGACAGTTAAACTGAGTCATTAAGGTAGGGAGGGAGGGAGATGCAGACTTACGAGTTGGGGCCCGGCGCGCCCTCGTGACTTTAAGAATCAATCAATCAATGGGTGGAGACAACAATAGGTGACATGGCTCAAACTCATCGTTGTCAATGGCTCACGCAGATGTATTCAGTCTCTGTAATATTCAGTCTCATATTCCTTTCTACCATTACACATTCATTCTGTTTCACTCTTATACTTGTCAAAACTCTATTGATTCTCTTCACTCATCCACCTTATTGTCTACCTTTGTGTGGTATTTAGAAAGTGGCAACTGGAACTGCTGCACTTCGGTGCGAATTTCTATGTTGAATCCAGACAGACAGAGACTATCATCAAAACTGATAAAAATAAATTCAGTTTCGTGTATTGTTTAAAATTATAAATTGTCCTTGTCAGGCTAAAAAAAAAATAGTATGATGTCGTAAGCATAGCGCGTTTATCTGATGCCTGTATCAATGTCTTAAAGTCTAATCGAATGATTTTCAAATAAATGATCTTTAGACCAGCTTTAGTTAGTTGGTTAGTTAGTTAGTCAGTTGATTTTAAGAGGTTAGGCGTAAATATTCTTTGTTTACCCATTGCTTTATTGTTTAGAAGTGGATGTATATATATATATATATATATATATATATATAGAAAATAGATGTGTTACTACTAGTTGGTTTTTCTAATGAATTGTTGTCTCTGGTGTCATTGTTTTTTTCTCTTCTTTCTTCTTTTTTGTACTTTGTCTATCTGGTGATGGATGCGTAAAGGTTTGAAGATTAGACCATTTATTGTTTTTATTTCAGTCATTCATAGTATGATCTTATTTTGAATAAATAATCTTTGTCTGTGTGTGCGTGCTTTTTTCTGCAGTTAGAGAATCATTAAAAAACCAGGGAGTAGTGGACAGCTGTTTCGTCCCTCTAACTTGGAACTCATCACCAGTACCCACACCGAATTGGGTTCGAACCCCAGGACCTGCCGATTACAAGGCGAGCTCGTAGGCTATTCAGTAACCGGGATGGGACTTGACTCAGTGCAGTGGCCAGACCAGTCCATGACATGAATTCTACCTCTGCCAATTCGTGATCTATGCAGCACAACCATGAGTCAATGTCAGACGAATTCCATCAAGTCAGGTCAGAGGTCATTTACTTGCCATTAGCACTCTGACTGGCAATTACGCTGTATTGGACATGTCATGGTCTTTGGATCAAGTCCCAATGGTTGAATGGTCGACTCTATTGACTTACTGCTGGAGGACGGTCCTAGGTCGAATCCAAGGATGTGGGTGCTTACTGATGAAGAGTTCCAAAGCAGGCTGACGAGACAGCTATACAGTACACTCCAGTGCTGGTTTTCCAGTTTGTTCCCCTAACTGGTGTCAACTTGTGATCAAACTTTTATATCCAGTCTACCCAATTTTTTTTATTCCGCCCAACTACATACATTTTTGTACTATAAGATTGCGTCAGTAACTATTCATGTAGATGTTGTCGTTTGTGTCTGCTCATGGTGCTGGTATTTTAACAGTTTTATATTGATCTGCGTCCGATTAGGTGTGTTTTTCTCTATCAACCAACTTTTCAACTTTAGTCTAGACGGATATAACATCCGGTTAAATTTTGAGATAAATGGTCTATCACTACTCTACCATCATGGATATCTTTGTCATGTGTGGCATTTGAAATCAATTTTTTACTTATTTATTAATATTTTATTTTCTTGGTTTCCTAGTGAAACAAAAGGGGAGGACTTGTTTCAACAGACTGTCTCCGTCTCCACCTTGTTCTGTGCAGTCTTTTTATTGACTAGCTCCACGATACCGCTCAGGTAATCTCCTCCAAATCACCCTCAGACTGACACCCAACTTGTCGTTTTTTTACATTCGATGGTCTGAATAGCGTTCGATGTCATTCAACGGTTTTCTCAGTACACTGTGTGCACTCCACCTGCATTTCGTTAGGCATATTAATTGGGCGATAAATTATTGTTGGGTTCACTGTCAGAGTCCTTTGTGGTTAATCCTGTACAACCGACTGTCTGATCTTCAGTATCTCTGTCTGTCTGAATTCAACATAGAACTTGGCACCGAATTGCAGCATCTCGAGTTGCCACGTTCCAAATAGCACACAAAGGTAGACAAGAAGATGAGTGAAGAGAATCAATAGAGTTTTGACAAGTATAAGAGTGAAACAGAATGAATGAGTAGTGGTAGAAGGGAATATGAGACTGAATATTACAGAGACTGAATACATCTGCGTGAGCCATTGACAACGATGAGTTTGAGCCATGTCACCTATTGTCTGTCTCCAGCCTTCATTGATTGATTCTTAGAGTCCCGAAGGCGGGCCGGGCCACAACCCGGAAGTCTGTATCTCCCTACATCTTCAGTATACAACGAAAGAAACAGCTTGTTAGCAGAAGTTTCCAATAGCCTATTTCGAAATGTTTTCGTTATGAACAGATTGGGGAGTAGTGGCTTTATAATTAACAAATGGGGATATCATACTGTCTGACATTTACATTTTTGGATTATTATTATTATTATGATAATTATTAGCTTAAAAATGCCCATTAAAATTTTCAAAAGAATGGATACTGAACAAAGAATACTCTTTTCGATAACCCCTTCATCATCAGGTTCTACATTTATAGATACACTATAGTGATTGAACTAGTGTTATGAACAACATTAATACTGTTTAAATAACATCGAATCAATTATACTAATATCAGTAGATTACAGTTCAGTAGCATCAACATAAAATAAGCTGGATGTCAGAAAAATTAGGAAAGATAATATTACAAATTCAGGAATTTATAGTCTCCACTAAAGGCCAGGGCAATAGTAGTGACTGGACTTGCTTCTTTTGCACAAAAAGTACCAGTTGTTTTAGGCGAATCACAACAGCCTCTGCTATTTGGAGTCTTCGGTACCTAGATGTTTTTGGCATTTTGTTTGGTACCCGATAGATGATAGAGAAGGACTCTTCAATATCAGCTTTGTGGCCTGTTTGGACCAGGTGGTCTAATATCGGAGTGTTGATGGTTTTTACTACACCTTTATGTAGTCAAACTGGTAGATGTTCCCGAGCAAGCACAAGAAATCAAGTTCGTTTAGCGACGACCAATATAACTCGCTCCACCACAAGCGCAGTTGAAATGGTAGACACAACTGGAAGTGGTTAGTCTAGGTACTTCATCTTTCAACTGAGGAATCACCATCGGTCGTGTAGAAAATAAGACTTGTAGTTTGACAGCATTAAAGTTCTTCGAACGGATTTTCTTAACTTATTCGTAATTATTTCGTTGAGTATATCGCCCTTGAAATGCAGTCGTATGTATAAAGGCTTCTTATTTAAGGATAGTGAGTGGTCCTTTTCACCTGTCATAGTCATATGTTTCCTGATGAATTTCTCTGGCTGACTATTTTCGATCAAGCTATCATATACAAACCTTAGTTGATCTTTAATTACCTTTTCTGAGCATATGTCTCTGACCCTGTGGCTGAGGATTTTTTACTGAATTTCTTTTGTCCTGGAGAGGAACGAAGCTATGAAAATGTGTATATTGTCCTGTCCATGTACTTTTTCTTTGCAAATTTCTTTTTTGCCAGCATCTGGCTTTCTTGTAAGGAGGACATCCAGGAAGGCAATTCTGTCTTGCCCTTCCTCTTAATATATTATTTTTATTATGATATTCTAACCTGTGTCGGAGATGTTACCATTCTGAGCTAATCCAGCATCATCAATTTATATGCTATCAAACTATGAAAAAAAGGTTGGGGGGAGGGGTGAGAGAAGACAGAAAACAGAAAAATAATCTAATAAACAGTACTTCAACATGGCAACTCAAGAAGATTGAAGTTCATCAAATTGAAAACTTGCATAGTGAGCTGAGCTCACTAGTGTAATAAAAGTAATACAGTTGGTTAACCAAGGGAGTGAGAGATTGACTACACTATCTTTCTGTATGTGCATAAGTTTGTTCTGAAACGTTTGATTGCGATTGCTTCAGCAAACCGTAGTAGATTCACTGTCCCGTTGTATGTTTAATATTTTGAAGGATTTGGAAATCTCGTCAAAATGACCCGTATCCACAAGATGGGTGTCTGGTGATTGCACTCTGCAAAAATATCTGCTTCTTTTAGCCATTCACCAATCGACATCATCTTTAGCATATACATGATATCTGAATATTGGTCAATGGATTTGTGTGTATACTGCACGGTAGTTTCCGGCATTCTTTATGACTATCAGAAGTAAACGACTTAGAAAGTTCAACTGTTTTCAACCACAGTTTGTCTGTCTGTTTTTGACATAGAACTTCCACATATGGGCGGCAGGTCAAGTCACCACACTCCACTCCTTGCACCACACAAAGCCAGAAAAGAAGAAAGTAGGAGAAATGCATATTAGAGAGAGACAGTAAACAGAGATGTGGTGAGACAAAGGAATAGTAATAACGAAGAACAAAACAGTTTCATTGGAAATCATAAGTCAGTCACAAGGAGTGGATGCATCCGAGCCAGCCAGCCATTGAGAACGATCACTTTGAGCTAGCCATGTCAGCAATTGTTTCCAGCCTTCATTGGTATTTACCGTCCCGAGGACCCCAACCAGTCAGTCAGGAAGTGTACATATTCCTACGTGGCTGGCTTAGACTAACTGTTGTAGATTTCATTGACTGGTGAAGCCATGTTTTGGTTTGACCGCCACTGGCTAGCTCTTTTCCAGCCTGACCCATCCTATGTCAGCTAACATTGCCCATTGTCGAGGAAGGCGATGACTAGGGATGCATACGTAACACAATATGTCCTAACCATCTGAGTCGATGTAATTTCACAGCCTCGTCGATTGATTTCCCCTCCTTACCAACTAGCACTCGACCGATGGCCTAACCTCAATATTGGTCACCTTATCATACCACTTCACACGGGAGATAGAACGCAGACATCTGCTCAATACAGTTGTGAATTGGCGTTTTTTTTACCTTTTTAAGCCTTTTGGTTCTTTCTGCATGGCGAGTGTGTGTCAACTTTAAGTTCTGCACTACTGTGCAGTCATTTAGTTGTAAACTCGATCAGATGTGGAATCCTTGTGTCTGTGTGAGATTCTATACTTTATTGCCTATTCCAGCAGGCAGTGGTTTCTCATTTAATTTGGAGTTCCATTTTTACTAAAACTCATATTGACATATACAGAAAAAATCTGTTCGTATCCCAGTTCATGAAAATAATGTACACTAGTGAGTAGTGAAGATTTCTTTGAAAAAGATCCATTTTATTTTTCTCTCTCTCTCTCTGTTTTTGTTTTGCAGCGTTCAGTTGAAGATGAGATTGAACGTCAATCGAATTCGGATATTAGCACTATAGCGATAAGTTATATTGTCATGTTTGTCTACGTTAGCCTGTTTCTTGGAACGTATCGAAGTTGTAAAACTATATTTGTAAGTTGCTTTTAATATGCTTTAATCTTAACTATATTAGTATTATTATTACTAGTATTGTCAGTTCTTTGTGTTCTGAGCAGAACACACGATTTCACCTGCATGTCTCTATTGCACTCACCTATTTGCCATCACTTTCAGCTGGTTAGAAAACTGTCCTCCACAGACTTTCATCTCCTCTTCTTTCATGATTTTCTTCTTCTTTTTTTTGTCACTCTCCGGTGCCAGTGTGTTTGCTTCCTGTTCGCATTCTACTCAAGGGTATGGCGTGATGTGATGTAATTTGCAATCGTGTTCATTCCATCTTTATTTCTTTGTGCAATATGTGTTAGGTAATAGGCGTGTTGCCTAATTCGCTGTCTCAAATACTTATTATTATTATTGTTTCCTTTAATTCCTAGAGGAACATAGGGCTTCAGCCGTGCGTCTCCATTGCCTTCGGTTCTCTGCTAGAGTTTTCACCTGGCTCCAAGTCTGCCCACACCTTTTCATCTCCTCTTCACATGACCTCCTCCAAATCACCCTCACCCTTGCACTGACGACCAACTCGCCGACGCTTTCCATTCAGTCGGGTCCCACTCGAGCGATGGCTTGTCTAGTGATGTCAGTCACTTGATGGCTTGTTTCCTCAGAGTATGGCCAGCCAATCCACCTACCTCCATTTCTACCTGCCTATTTGTTTCACAATCGGTTGGTTCCTGCTGGGTTGGTTCGCTCATTGCCAGAGATCCCTCCCTCTCTGTTGGTGATGTTTTCTGGCCGACCGGCCATCTCATCTTGAGGAGTATTGAGCGAAGACAGCTAGCTGTTAATGAATGTGCGTAGTTTGTTTGAGATGCTCTTTATGACGTGCAGTGCAAGTCTCTGATCCATCCGTATAGTAAGTGGCACTGACTGACTTCACTCACATTGGAGTTGAAAATCCGGATGTTATCTTCGTTTTGATGGTGAGTGCTGTTGACCTCCACACAGACTTGAGAGTAGTGAAAGCTTGTCTTGCTTTTCCGATCCTTGCTGCGTTCATATCCTCGTCAGTTCCGTTCGCCTGTAGTTGAAAGGATGCTTCCCAGGTAGGTAGGTGAAGGAGGTTGTTTCTTTCAGGTTCCTCCGATTGTTGTCTGTTGTTGTTGTTCTTGTCCAGGAATCTTCATCACCACATCTGTTCTCTCTATGTTCACCTGAAGTCCTATCTTGTCTGGATGCTTCTTCCGCCAACTTGTTGCTTGTTGGCTGAAATACTTCAAAATTCAATATCTTTTCCGCCAGTGATATGATCTTCAGTATCAAGCAAAGACAGTTGTTGATGATGTTATTAGGGATTCTCTTGGGTGCTCTGAGTGGAACATAGCGCTTCAATAGTACACATCTTGACTTCGTCCTATTCTCTGTGCTCCTCTTTAACTGGCCCCAACGATTGCCCATAGGTTCTCATCTCCTCCTGCTCACAGCACGATCTCCTCCATGTCACCCTCAGACCAACGCCCAACTCATCGTTCCTGATTCGCGTTCCACTCGACGGCTTGCCTGGCGTCTACACTCACCCTATGTCTGATCCATCTCTACTTTTTTTGAACACATTTTGTTGATCAACAGGTTCTTGGTTGGTTCATTACTAGAATTTCCTGCTGCTAATTCTTTGTGCCTGGCCATCTGATCTTGAGTATGTGGAGCCAGCTAAGAGGACGGCTGTTGATGAAAGGGTTCAGTGGTCTGCTGGAAATGCTTTTGGTGACGCTGTAACCAAGTTTCTGATCCTCTTAGAGATGAAGTGACTGATCTAATGTCGGTGTTGAAAACCCGAATTTCATTCTTTGTGCTGAAGCTGTCTGTTAGTAACATGCTATTTGGTGACGCACACGGCAACTTTTTGAACCTAATAGCAGTTGTGACATACTTAATATTAGTGTGTGTACAATTCAGTTCTTGTTCCTTATAAACGATTTAAAAAAATTTTTTTTATTCCTTTACGTTCTCAATGGAACGTAGGGCTTCAAGCTAGAGGCTTCAAGTTTCTGTAGCAGTGGTGTTTATTTTTACAGGATGGGGTTGCTAGCCTCATGCCCAACCTTATCTCTTTGCCAGTTCTACTACTGGCTTAGCGAGGTAAAGGGGTGCGTCGGCGGGGAATCAAACTCCGGACCATGTGCGTGGTCGGCGAGCGTCCTAACTGCTATGCTACCGACGCTTAAACATTATAACTGATTAGTGTAGTGGATTTCCACACTGATTTCAGAGTAATGAACTTCTGTCTTGCCCTTTCCCCCCCCCCCCCCCATCTGATTCTAACTGGTTTTGACATCCTCATCAGTGTCACTGCCTGTAGTAGTTGAAACGATATTCCCCTCTTAAATAATATTGATTTTTGTTTGTCGTTGTTGTTGCTGTTTTTGGTCGGATGTCTTCATAACGCTTGTAAATCTTTAAGATTTTATGTGATGGCAGACATAAATCATCTTTGAAGTTTAGATCTTTGTGGACGTTTTATGTCAGTCTAATGTATACACCACCACCTTGTGAGGGTACAAGTCGAAAAGTTATTTCAATTAATTAGGCGTTTTGATTTAACACTAACCAGCGTCATGTATGTAGTCCTTTGTTCGGTGCAGACTGACTTCTATAAGTCAGTCAAATTTGCAATGTGGCTACCATTCTGAATGGCTCACCATCATAGCTCACTCAGAATTGTTGTTATTAGATAGCTGGAGGCAATTCTGAGTGCACTGTGTTGGCAAGCCACCTAGCATGGTGACCACATTGCAAACCTGACTGAGAGAATTCAGTCTGCACCAAACAACTCTCAGTCAGACTGTTCCAAATTACATAACTTTCTCTCGGAAATTAGTCAGTGGTCCTCTGCAAACGGTCTTAAGCTGAATCCGTCTAAATGTCAGGTAGTAAATTTCACTTTCAGACGAAAACGTGACCTACAGCAACTAGCTAGCTCACAGGGTCCCACTACCATTTACTGCATAGAGGTTGAAACTACATCTAATGTCAAGTATCTTGGACTGAGTATTTCCTCCGATCTTTCCTGGTCCTCTCACATCTTGCTAGTTACTAGAAAGATGTTTCGCTTAACGTTCTACGTTAGGAAGTTAAGGCAGTCTGGTATAAAGCAGTCCTTGCTTTCTCAGTTTGTCAACTCTTGTATTCTACCCATCCCTCTTTACTGCTCCCCATTAATCTTTCCTAGACTACTTAAGAAAGACTTTGCTTTGCTGCGTAGTGCACTAAAAGCTGTTAGTAGGGGAAGTGGGATATCGTTAAACCAACTGGTTAACACTATTGTGGATAGATATATAATGTCATTTAAGAAACTAGCGAATACTATATTGTCAGACCCCGAGCATCCTCTCTATGCGCAGCTCTCTCCTTACATTTCATCTGGTAGAACTAGAAGCAACTATAAGAGGCTATATGCCAGGACTGCCATGTACAAAAACTCCACAATACCTTATCTGGCACAGCTGTTATGTGATGAGAAATCCGTTAGGTATGACACGATCAACTTACTGCGGCACTCTAACGAATAATTCCCATTAGTTTTTGTTATCCTTTCTGTGTTACTATTATATTGTTGTTCACATCTTCTATTACACACTAATTTTATATTTCATATCCTGTGGTGCATTGTTTAAATATGTGAATGCAATGCTGTTCTTTTTTTTATTTCTTTTATTTCTCTTTTTTTCTTTTTGTTGTTGTTGCTTTTTATTTTTAAAATCTTATAAAACTTATGAGGTAATTAGATGCAATATTGTAATGTACGCTGAAAATTCCATACCTGTACCACAAATACTGTTTGGAATAAAAACATTATTATTATTATTAATTATTATTACATGCATGACGCTAGTTAGTGTTCAATCAAAAAGCATCCAATACAGTCCTATAGAAGGTGAATCGCAAGACCGAATAGCTCAGGTGTAACGTTTTTAACTGCAGCACCTGTGTGTGACACAGGTTCAAGTCTAAGAGGGGACATGAGTTCCTTCAAGGTTGCAGATACGTCTTACTGTGACTGGTAAGTGCCAGCCAACAAGCACGAAGCCTGGGTGCAACGAAGGCTTCCTTCCCATTGTCTCCAACCATCTAAATAATTAGGCACTTATCGATTTTACTTCACTAATCTATAATGTTTTTTATTCTCTTAACTAATTTCAGGTTGATATGCGTGTAACACTTGGTTTAGCTGGTGTATTGATCGTCCTCGCTTCGGTACTGGCATCAGTTGGTTTTTGGAGTTATTTAAATGTACCAATCACATTGATTATTGTTGAAGTGATACCATTCCTTGTTTTAGCTGTTGGCGTGGATAATATTTTCATACTTGTTCACGATTTTGAACATGGTCACAGCTTGTTAATTGATGATGTTAACCTGTTAAAATATTATGTATATCAAAAATTAAATAATAATAATACTAATGATAATACTAACAATCAAACATTGAACAATAATTCAAATGGTTCAACAATCAATTTAAATCAAGGTGAACCAGGTAACCATAGTTACCATCAACAACAACAACAAGGGCAAAAGTCAAATGATGATGATATACTGAATGCAGCAATTAAAACGATGGTTGAAGATAGAATAGCTGAATCAGTTGGAAATGTTGGACCATCAATGTTACTTAGTGGTTTAGCTGAAAGTGTTGCATTCTTTTGTGGTGAGTTGTATCTTTTTTTTCTCTCTTTGTTTGTTTGTTTTTCTCACTATTTGTCTATTCTTATTGCTGTTGGTTTGTTAACACTTGTAGGGGTCCGCAAATCAGGAAATTTTGCCTCAGTAGCATCACCAGCTAGCTAACCAGGATTCGTGAGTTTCAAGTAGATTCGTCTGTGAGACCTGGCCACTGAGAGTGGAAGACATGAAAAGATTAGCTGTCTTTGATCATAGGTGTCTGCGTTCTATCTCCTGTGTCTGTGAAGTGGTAAAATAAGGTGAGCAATATTGAGATTAGGCCATCGGTCGAGTGCTAGTTGGTAAGGAGGAATTGGAAATCAATCGACGAGGCTGTGAAGCTACATCGACTGAGATGGTTAGGACATGTGTTACGAATGCATCCCTAGTCATCGCCTTCCTCGACAATGGGCAATGTTAGCTGACATAGGATGGATCAGGCTGGAAAAGAGCTAGATAGGCGGCGGTCAAACGAAAACATGCCTTCACCAGTCAATCAAATCTACAACAGTTAGTTTAAACCAGTCACGTAAGAAGGTGTAGACTTTCCTGACTGACTGGTTGGGGTCCTCGGGACGGTAAAAACCAATGAAGGCTGGAAACAATTGGTGACATGGCTCAATGGCTGGTGCAGATGCATCCACTCCTTGCGACTCATGATTCCCAGTGAAACTGTTTTGTTCTTCGTTATCACTATTCCTTTGTCTCACCACACCTCTGTTTACTGTCTCTCTCTAATATGCATTTCTCCTACTTCCTTCTCTTGCTTTGTGTGCTACAAGGAGGGAGTGTGGCGACTTGAACTATGTCGAAAACAGACAGATTCGTCTGTCTTCATGTGGTCAGAACAAGGTAGACCACACTGACGAACTCAGTGTATTAGTAGCCATATCTAGCAATTTGAATCATTTCGATCTGGTTAGCGAACACTTTTGTTTATCACATGAGTGTTTGGCATCCGACTACTCACATCAGTCAGTTAGTAGTATATATATACCGTTGTGCTGTTTCGCTTGCTTTGTTAACTACTCTATATGAGATATTATGCTGATAAATTTTGATTTGACACTAGTAACTAGTGTGATGTGTCTAGTCCTCTCTTTGGTGCAGACTGAATTTTATCAGTCAGGTTGTAATGTGGCCACCATTCTAGGTAGCCCGCCATCACGGTGTACATAGTTTGTGATGATATTAGGTGGTTGGAGGCAATCGGCAGGAAGCCTTGGACCTAGGTTTCGTGCTAGTTGGCACTCGTCAGCAAGGCGTATCTGCAACCTTGAAGGAACTCATGTCCCTTCTGAGATTCGAACCCGCGTCACCCAGTGCTGCAGTCAGAGACGTTACCACTGAGCTATTCGGGCTCGCGATTGACCTCCTGTAGGACTGTAGTGATAAATTTATTGTGATCTCTTCAAGGTAGAAAAAAGAGTTCCTGAACGAGCAGGTCGCACACTTCTCGTGCGTATTACGTATACCAGTCCACCTACCCAGATGGAGCTTTGTGGGCAATTCCCGACCGATAGCTGCTACCTTGACGTGGTGGTCGAGCTTGAACATAGCAATGACCCAACGAGCCACACTGGCTGGAACTAATGTTCCTGTAGGTCCTACCATGCCAGAAAGGTTGTTTGGATAGCGGTTAGACAAAAAGCAGCTACCCAATCCAATACTATGATTCAAACAAATTCACAAAATATCATGCCGGATCGGTCGGGGCCCGGATTAACAACGAACGCGCTTTCTGCTACCGTGTCACAGGGCAGAAGTGATAAATATGCTACTGAGACACACCAAATAAAACAAGAAAACAAACAAAAACAGGCCACGTGTGACCAGCCTCAAGCAGTTGTCCCCTGGGCTCTGGGGTCACGCAACACTAACCTTTTCTCTATTTCAGGTACCCGAAGACTCAACCAACTTCCATGGTGTGGGTGTAGCCGGGAAGAAACAATCGCCCACACACTCCCATAAGCACACGAAGCCTTCCTGAGCATCACTCTCCCTTACTCACACTTCTAAAAGCACACTTGTGGGCGATTAAATAGTATTCCAGTTGTTTCTTTTTGAGGTGGTGCCGCCCGCTTTATCCGGTTGGCTGGTATTATAGAGCGTTTCAATAAATAGGCTGAAATATGACGACACATGGTTTCATGAAACTTCAGTAATATACGTGTTTAACTTTTGAACTGACTGCCTCCATTGAATGTATTAAATTGCGCAGATATCAGTATCAAACAACATTTTGTGACTAAAGTGCAGCAATTATTATTATCGGAAAGGCGACGAGTACGCCCTCATCATCCTGAAACCAGTTTGAAAATCTTCTGCTGTCACACTCAGCATAAAGAAAAAAAGATTCGGATTTCCAATACAAATGTGTGAAGTCAGTCAGTTCTTCTATATACGGCTCGGAAACTTGACCATTGAGTCATGAAAAGGATTTCCAACAAGTTACTGACTTTTATCAACAGCTGCCATCTGAAGCGCCATTATTATTGTTCCCTTGGGTTCCTAGTGGAACATAGGGCTTCAACTGCACGTCTCCACTTCCTTCTGTCTTCTGCTGTACTTTTCACCTGCATCCATCCATGTTAGTCCATACTGTTTCAACTCCTCTTCACACCATCTCCCCCATGTCACCCTTGGACGTCCTACTCGCCGCTTCACTTTCGGGTTCCACTCGAGCTATGGCCTGACTGACGCGCGATGTCACCCAGTGGCCTCCTCAGTGAGTGTCCAATCCATCTCCACTTCTTTCTCCTGCATATTTGTTGAGCGATTGGTTCTTGTTCTCTCCGGTGGCCATCTGATCTTCAGTATAGAGCCAGCGAAGACAGTTGTTGTTGATAAAGGTCTGCAACAGGCTGTTGGAAATATTCTTTGTGACGTAACCGCCAAGTTTCTGACCCATCCGTATAGAAGAACTGACTGACTTGACGTTTGTATTGAAAATACGAATCATTTTGTTTTTTTGAGTGTTGCTGAGTGAGTGAGGAATATTTCCAGATTGGTTTCAGGTTGATGAATATATTTCTCGCCTTCCCGATTGTCGATTTGACATCCTCGTCGGTTCCTCGTGTAGTTGAGACAATGCTCCCTTGATAAGTGAATGAAGTAACCTCTTTCAAATCCCTCCCGTTGATGGTGATTGGCGTTGAATGTTGCTGCTGTTGTTGTTTGTCGGTTGGTTATTTTCATAACCTGTGTCTTGTCTATGTTCACCTGGAGTCCTCTCTACACCAGCTGTTTCTTCGACCAGTTTGTCGGTCGGTTTTCGCTTGTAAGTCTTCGATTTTGTTTGACATCAAACATAAATTATCCGCGAAATCCATGTCTTCTAGGTTGTTCACGTCGGTGCAGGACATCCCTGTCTTCTCGTTTCACACTGTCTGAAGCGCCATACTGAAGATCAAATGGCCTGCCGGCCATAAAGAATTAGCTCTTGGTAACTCTGGCAACAAACCATCCAAGACCTGGTTGGTTGCTCCAACAAATATGTGGGGGAAAACGGAGATGTATCAAGCGCATGTCGAGGAGGTAGTCAAATGAAATCGTGCGCAATGCATGCCGTCACTCCCAGGTCATCCCAGGGACTTCCGTACAGATGTCTGTTCGCTAGCCTTAGGACAGGTTGGAAAAAGCGGAGAGGTGGTGGCGTCGTAGGATGAAGGATATTTGTGTGTTAGGTTAGTATCGGTTAGTGCGTCAGTAGCTCGAAACGTTATCAAATATGGCCAAGACTCGCAATCACCGATGGCGAACGTGTTGCAATTTCCTTCTTTCTTCCCTTCCTGATTATAGTTGACGAATGCTGTTTGAACCTGTTAAGTATGACTGTTTTCCTTCCAGATGAAGTTCTTTATCCGTCCTCTACTTATATTTTTTACTTTTAATCTATGTTGTTTGATTATCCTTGTTATTGTTTGGCTCATCTTCTTGGTGCCAAATTGTACTAAGTTTTTTTGTGTGTGTTTAAATAACATACAAAAAAGTAGGACAATGAGGGCCTGGCCAGCTCAGAGAACTCAACTGCATCAAAATAAGTGAGGTACATAATTCAATCAAATCTTGAATTAAGTAACGTTCAAGAATAAGTCACAAGCACAGAAAGCCATAATTCCATACATAAAAAGTCGAAGTGACTGTTGTCGGCTGTCTGTCTGTCTGTTTCCGACATAGAACTTTGCTCATATGTGCGCCAGTTCATGTCGACACACTCCATGTAGCACACAAAGCCAGAAAAGAAGAAGGTAGGAGAAATGCATATTAGAGAGAGACAGTAAACAGAGGTGTGGTGAGACAAAGGAATAGTAATAACGAAGAACAAAACAGTTTCATTGGAAATCATAACTCAGTCACAAGGAGTGGATACATCTGCACCAGCCAGCTATTGAGAACGATCACTTTGAGCCATGTCACCAATTGTTTCCAACCATTGGTTTTTACTGTCCCGAGGACCCCAACCAGTCAGGAAGCCAATCTACACCTTCCTACGTGGCTGGCCTAGACTAACTGTTGTAGATTTCATTGACTGGTGCCATGTTTTGGTTTGACCGCCACTGGCTAGCTCTTTTCTAGCCTGACCCTATATCAGCTACCATTGCCCATTGTCGAGGAAGGCGATGACTAGGGATGCATTCGTAACACATGTTCTAACCATCTCAGTCGATGTAATTTCACAGCCTCGTTGATTGATTTCCCCTCCTTACCTAGCACTCGACGCCTAACCTCAGTATTGCTCACTTTATTATACCACTTCACATGGGAGATAGAACGCAGACACCTATGATCAAAGACAGTTAGCCAGGCTTTTCATGTCTTCCACTCTCAGTGGTCAGGTCTCACAGCCATGAAGGAGGATGGGGCGGACTGATGAGCCGTACACACTGTTGTCGGCATTTGTCACCAGTATAAGGTGAGGTTGATAAGGTCTGTCTTCTTCACCATTACTAATATCAACAGTAACGATAATCTTAATAATATTAA